CCACAGCATCGTCCAAGCTACTCATGCCCTGGACGCTGAGAGATTGGGCAAGATCTTGGTAAATTTCTTTCTCACTGTCTGACCGTCTGCCATCGAATAAGAGGGGTAGGATTGAGGTGAGCATATCAGTGGCATGCAAAGCTACGACGTTCCTCCTAGACTGAGAGGCCAATTGGCAGAGACATGCAGGCAAGGCCAGGCGTAATATGTCATATCCAGATGAAAAAGAGGAATGCATCAGCCACACGCGAAGGAATGGACCAAGTAGTTCTGGCACTTCCACCGTCTCGGCTGATCCAACGCAATGATCCACAGCTTCCTGAATATCTTTCGGGGACGGAGAGTCCTTATTTGGGGAAAATTTGGTGCTCAGTGTTACAAAAATACTCGACACTGTCTCCTGGCATAGAGCTCCGGCCAAAATGGCGCCGTAGAGATGCTGTGCGTCACTCTCAGTTGTGTCTATCTTCTTGACCAGCGCAGTGAGAATTCGTTCCAATGCAGCAATACCTCCCCCGACTATCTTCCGGGCAAAATATCGCTTGTTGCCAAAATGGTCTTTCAGGCCTTCTGCCAACACACCGAGGACATCTTTGAAGATATCCAAGAGGCCTTTTCGTTCCTCCTTGGATTGATGTACCGGATTGTATAGCTCGGCTACCTGGTCCGCCAATGCCAGCAGCGTTTGAAAGCCCTGAAGATATCGGAATGCATCCTTGGCGGTGCGTGGACGTGCATCATCTATGAAGGTGTGTCGTAGGCGTAGAAGTGATTCGGTCGTCGACAGGGCCTGTGAAAGAGTGATTGCGGTGCCTGCACCGACGATCCTGAGCTGGTCAATGGTTGGGGCTAGCTCTTCGGCCAATCGTTCGGTTGATCCGGAAGGGGACGGCGGGTGGAGGGGAGCCGCCGGAGCCATAGCCAAATCTTATCCACGTCCGCTCCGATGGCAGATGACCATCAGAGACCGTGAATGTTCAATAGCGGGTACAGTGGTCTGCATTGGTATGTGACAATGTGCCAAGATAGGAAGCCTGGCGGTTAGGAAAATTTGCAGCAGTCGTCATCCGCAGGACCCATGTCAAATATTCAGCCACCTCTGTAATTCGCTATCGGGGAGAGGGGAAAGTTGAATATCAGGTGACTCAGAAGTTGGGGGGCTGGACACAACTTGAACTGGGCACAGCCCTGTATTGTATTGTATTGGAATGGTAATATGTATTGAAGTTACTACTGATAGGACATGATAAGCGCGATAAGGGGTGTGAACAATGTGGAGAAGCTTGAAAGTGATCCTATGATGTGATGGCTTCTCCGCAGATTGAGTGAGTTTGTATCCAATAATGGCACTCTCATGCAAGACAAGGGGTATGCTAGCTTCTGAGTCACCCGAGCACAAAGCACGCGACTTCGGAGGATGAGTTGCCTTGGAGAAACTGGGCCGTGCGAGAGAGGCTGCCTATAAGCCTATAGCAAGGTGAGACTTGCCAGGTACCCGGGGGGAGCTGATCATCTGCATCACCTTGCTATAGTTGCTTCATCTCACGTCTTATTTATTCCCGGACGATATTCGAACAACCTAAATTATTGTCTAGATGATAATATGTCCCATGAGATGTGGATGCTCTTTATCTTCCCCAACTTCTAAGGTTCCTGAGACAGGGGTGACCATACCATACGGTATCGGGTACCCCGTTCCTAGTCAGTCTCCACTAGATCGACATGGACAGGTCATCCGCCAGCGTAACCGTATGTAATCCCGCTTGCATCATCGATACCCCGTCTCCTCCCTAGATAAGCCTGCCCTTCTCCTCATCTTCCCTCTTCTCCTCTTCATCCAACCTATCCTTCACTCATCCTTTCCACAACCTACAATTATTGTTTACCTATCTATCGTTCTTCTGCCGTGTTAACCTTCCCACTTTGCCCATTATGAAAGGCTTCATCAGCCTAACACTGATACCGTTGTTGGCAGCTGCCTCGCCTGTGGCGGTAGGCTCCATTCACAATGACGCCGCTCCTATCCTCTCCTCCATGAACTCACGAGATATCCCGGATTCCTATATTGTTGTGTTCAAGAAGCATGTTGACCAGGGGTCTGCGTCCGCTCACCAGAGCTGGTTGCAGGAGGTGCACACCGCTCACACCGGTCGGATGGAGTTGAAGAAGCGCTCCCTGTTCGACTTTGACTATGAGGCTTTCATGGGCCTGAAGCACACTTTCCACATTGCTGGGTCACTCATGGGATATGCTGGTCACTTCCCTGAGGATGTCATCGAGCAGGTCCGCCGTCATCCCGATGTGAGTAATCCCATTTCCCCTTGCGGAAGTTCCCGAGATCGGCGGCTAATCTGACTCGAAACAGGTGGATTACATTGAGAAGGACTCTGAGGTCCGTACGATGACCGATGGTACTGTTGAGAAGAACGCCCCTTGGGGTCTTGCCCGTATCTCTCACCGTGAAAGCCTCTCCTTCGGCAACTTTAACAAATATTTGTATGCCGAGGAGGGTGGCGAGGGTGTCGATGCCTACGTTATTGATACTGGCACCAACGTTAAGCACGTCGACTTCGAGGGTCGTGCTAACTGGGGCCAGACCATCCCCCAGGGTGATGCTGATGAGGATGGAAATGGTCACGGAACTCACTGCTCTGGTACTATTGCCGGCAAGAAGTTCGGTGTCGCCAAGAAGGCCAACGTCTACGCTGTCAAGGTTCTTCGCTCCAATGGCTCGGGCACTATGTCCGATGTCGTCAAGGGTGTTGAATGGGCGGCCGAGGCTCACATCAAGAAGTCCAAGAAGGGCGATAAGAAGTTCAAGGGTAGCGTTGCCAACATGTCTCTTGGTGGTGGTAGCTCCCGCACTCTGGATCTTGCTGTGAACGCCGCAGTTGACGCTGGTATTCACTTCGCTGTCGCTGCCGGTAATGACAACGCTGACGCCTGCAACTACTCCCCCGCTGCTGCCGAGAAGGCCATCACTGTTGGCGCCTCCACCCTAGCTGATGAGCGTGCTTACTTCTCCAACTACGGCAAGTGCACTGACATCTTCGCCCCCGGTCTGAACATCCTCTCTACCTGGATTGGTAGCGAGCATGCTACCAACACTATTTCTGGTACCTCTATGGCCTCTCCTCACATCGCCGGTTTGCTGGCCTACTACGTCTCCCTGGCCCCCGCCAAGGACTCTGCCTATGCCGTCGCCGATGTTACTCCTAAGCAGCTCAAGGCCGCTCTTATCAGTGTTGCCACCGAGGGCGCACTTACTGACATGCCCGCCGACACCCCCAACGTAAGTTGATCCCCCCTGGTCTTGATTAACATGAATTAAGCTAACTTTTATCTTAGCTTCTGGCCTGGAACGGTGGTGGTTCCGCCAACTACACCCAGATCCTTGCCGAAGGTGGTTACAAGGTTGGTTCCAATGCCAAGCCCACTGTCGAGGAGCGCATTGGCAACATCATCGATAACGCTGAGAAGGCCTTCCACAAGGAGCTCGGCGCTATCTACAGCGAGATCAAGGATGCTGTCTCTGCATAGATTAGAAGGTTGTTAGGGTTCTGTCAGTGACAAACCCAACACCTCGGGCATACGGATGAATGGATTAACACAGGCGCACATCATATTTTCTTTGGTTTTATCTCGGTTTTTTTTTTGGATTCTCCAACACGAATCCGCAGCTCTATCCCGCGACTACACTCCTATACACAGATTGTTTTCTGCTATTTTGCTATTTCGTTGCTTCACGTAGCATACTCGTCTGCAACCATAACTGATTTAGAATATGTTTTGATTTATCAGACCAAAGACTTCTCCGCTGTTCCACTCTAAAATAGGTTCAATTAGGCCTTGGCAAGTACATGTATTCATGACATCCCTGGCTCGACCCATAAAGGCTAGTTCCTAGCGCCAACACCACTATCATGAATCCATACTATACATATAAACTTCGCCCATTGGGCTTAGTTGGCGGTCCGATGTAGGAGCCATACATTATACATTGTACATGAGACGATGAATTCTTCCAAACTCCATATTCGAGTGAGCTACAAAAAGGCACATCATATTAACCCATAGATCATCATTGCCGAGCAAAAGTGGACTCTCCTCCCCCACACTGTCCCCACCATTAAACCCCTCAAGGTGTTGGTGCTAGTAAAACAAAACAGAAGCGCAGGCCGCTTGGCACGCTCCAAAAGCCGAATTGCAGTAAAGTATAGAAGCAGGTGCGGTTGCACCCATCGTGGCTCCCCATGTGAAGCCTGCTGCCGAGTAACAGGCCATTACGAGTGTTGCACATCCTGCTTGACATACTCCATAGGCGGCTGGGCTGGCAGATACAGCAGAGCTGAAAAACAAGTATGCATAGAGAAGAGCCCATGAACTCTTCATTGTTTTGAAGTGCAAAAGATATCTATTGGGCATTCTATCGGAGAGGGATGGAGAAGCAAGAAGATGCTGTATTGATAATCTATGGAGAAACTGGGTATTTATACCCATGTAAAACAGCAAAAAAACTGGCAAATAAAGATCTTACATGGTCTGAACTCTTGAACAGGGTAGCAAATAGTAGGGATTATATCCTAACAATGTCGACGCTGGAGTACTGCGTCTTACAATGCTAGCCTGGAGTCATCATGATGTATTCCGATAATGATTTTCCAATGTTGACGAAATGTCCAAGGGTCTTTCTGCGCAGAGGTACAATGCTCGAGCTTGGTTTAACTTATTCAGAGTGTGAAGGTAGAGCTAATGTGGCTAAATTGAGATTTTGAATATATTAGAATTTGATTTGATTTCGTTAAAATATCTGTGGAACATTGCAGCAGGGTATTGCATGTTATCATAAACCATAAGACCCATAATGCTCGAAAATGCTCCCGCTAAACGCCTATCGTATGAAATATCAGAATGGTACGCCGAGAATGCTGAATATGCTCGAAGAAGCAGCCGTAAAATCGTTGATGCAGCAACTCCCGGACGAAAGCAGGCGAAAGTCTTTACGCCTTCTTCGTCTCTGTGGAATCATCGTCGGGCGATTCATCCTCATCCAGCTCTAGATCACTACCGCTAGACACGCCCATGTCGAGTTCTGCGTCAGAGTCACTGCCACCGAACTCGCTGTCTGCATCGCTATCAGCCCAGAAATCGTGGTCTTCCTTCTCGGCAACCTCGCGAACGGGAGTATCGTGTGTGGGCATCTCGAAGCCGGCGGGAATATCGAGCTTTGACTTCTCAACATCCTCTTTCGCAAGTTGACGGTAGAGTTCTGGGTCCTTGCGGAACAAGACGGCAGCGTCGACGTTCGCGGGGGAGGAAGGCTCGGCATCGTCAAGCAGAGAGATGATGGAAATCAGGACCGATTCCACGCGCTGGGCAGGAGACCAGCGCTCCGAGGCAAGTTCGCCGGACATCTCATCTTCGCCGGGCGCGTGAAGGATGGAGATGCATAGATTGCCGTTCGTGTATATGTTTGGATGGTGGATCGGACTCAGGAAGCGGAACTCTGATGGCAATGAGAATCTTATACTCAAATTGGAAGATGAGACGAGGGAGAAGGATTTATCATACTTGGTGGGGCGTAGGGGTAGTTGGAGGGGAATGTCATAGAGGCTTTGAAGTAGCCGCCGTAGTACATAGAGTCCGGGTTGATTACGATCAGGGCGACATCCCAGTTGAAGATGTCATCATTGTGCAACTTTATAGATACATCAGTAATTAGCAAGGAAATTTCAAAAGACATTAATGAAAGGATGAACGTACCTGGACGTGAACCCACTTCTCTTTGAGAAGGGCCTTAAATTCGTTCATGAGGATGCGCTCGGCCATCGCGACAGACACTTGCGGAGGTTGTAACTGGGAAGTCTGTGAGTTATTCGCAATGTCTTCTTATACAGGTGGGCGACAAGGCAGCAATCCGTGCAAAACGAATCCAAAGAAGTCCAAAAAGTTAGGCAAAATGTCACGAGGATGTTCAAGTTAGTTATGCCTACTGAGGCTAATGGGTGCCTGAAAAATCGGTGGCAACCGTGACTAAGAATGGTCCGCCACCCAAATAGATCTTTGCCTCAATGTCCAGATTCTCTTTTTATATATAGTTCTCTGTTCATATATCTTGGGAATTTTTAATTCTAGCTATAACACATGTAATATTGGTAAGCTGCCTCGGGAATTGATCGGCTCTCGCTCATTCCGATGCTCAGACGATTTGATGTCATACTGCATACTCCGATAACCCGTGACACTGCTGCTTGGGAGTGAAGGGGAATGGCATTCTCTCACATTGCTAGATTATCGATTCAATCGGTTTAATTTATGTGAGAGATTCAATAACTTATAATCTCGCTGTATCATCAACTGTTTACTTCATAAGGCTCTATTTCATCCATCCAACGAACTATACAAATCTTAGATAAACTACTATGTACATATTAGCCTGAGTGTAATTGATAAGAAGTTCCCACACGGCCTATCATTTATAGATCAACCAGCTCATCAATAGTATAATGCGACACCAAAGTGCCCTCGCTTGCCTGACGCATTTTACTTTCCACGATGGCGTCCATATTAAGCCGCTCCTCTGCACTGAGCAAAGCAAGTCAATCCTCTATGGTTGTGGATGGACCGTAAAACCTTGAATCAATGAAATCCGAATAAATCTCATCGAACATAGAGCTGCGACGTGAGGCGAGACAAATCCAAAATAGTCCGGTCTCCATCGACTTCTCCATAGTAGTTGATAGCCGCTGAGATTCGGATAAAGACCCATCTTGGATTTTTTTCGGCCTCGCAATCACGAAGAGCTTCAAGGAAAGTGCGCAGCCTCGGCATAAAACGCAATATGAATTGATCGAGATCAGATTCCCAGTCCTCTGGACTCTCTAACAGTAGCCACCAGGGAGCAGCAAGTGTAAATTCAATAGGAGCAGCATAGGTAAACTCCCAGTCAACCACACCAGTAACAGCGAGGCTCGATGCATCAAAAAGGACATTATCCGGACGTAAATCATCGCAATAAAGGCGGAAAGGGCCTCTACAGTGTTCTTTAGATATCTCACGTAACACTTTGCGAAAAAGGCAACGCGCAATATACTTCTTGCGACAATCCTCCTCATCCGTAACCTTCCCAATTATCTCATTCTTGTCCACGAATTTCGCGATGATTACTCACTACAAGCCCGGAAGGAGATGACGGTGGAAGGTACTGGCAACATGGTCCGCTAGTACACGAAAGCTCTGGCTAACAATGACATAAAGAGCTGAATGCGAAGATAGAAGCTTTTTTCTACGAAGGGGCGGCGATTCACCAGGGACGAATGGTTGCAGCAATACCCCAAGGCGACGGAGTGACATCTTCTCGACGGAGGTATGGACTGTCTCATTGATACTTGATTCTTCTAGCGTTCAGAGCCTTGACCCGACGTTCAAGACAAACTATGGACACTGGAACGAACCAATACCTAACCGCAATTGCACTATAAACCAATAAACATCGGAGCCTAAGAGCACCCGAGCTCTTTTTCACGACACTGACCCTACCCCTGGGAATATGAATTGTATTATAATCCAATCATTTGATATTGGACGGCATATGCACAAGTGCCTTGTATATGTAGCTCTTCATCCCGAGTGATGTGATTAATTCGTCATCGCGCTTATATTTCGATAGGTTTCTTAGCAATAGATATGCATGTATGTCATTAACGAATCTGGGCTTCTCAATTTAGGACAATATATGACAATATCGTCTGTATCGCGATGTTCCAAACCATCCTTCGGCATACGCAGGCCCCTGCGCTTAGCATCCCACGTCTACCAAACCGCCGCTCTTTCTCATATATGTCGACTCACTCAGTTTTTCCAGCAAGCTTGTATCGATTTCAAATACAGCGTGAATCGAGGCTTTATGATAGAGCTTTTAAGCAAAACGACTCGGAATACGAGGATGGGATAGAAGTTAGTGCGGACGGCTTAGTTCACCCAAATATAACTGGTGATTGTATGCAAATGCAACTTCATGTTCTTCACCTGCTAACAATTTAGTTGCGAATGGTGCTTTATTCATGCCAAACACGCACTATATGCAAGAGGTCACGCGGATGGCGAATAATTACTACTTGGAAGAGGTAGAAAGTGGTAAACCTGCTGCCGAAGCTCATTATTTGTGCATACCTAAAGGTGAATAAAGGCCCTTATTAAAATATGTGGAACTAATTTTGCATACTATAAGGTACCGCTATACCAAAGTCATTGGTCCTTTTCCGTGAGCATACTTCTCGCTTCTCTCTACAACCTGCATATCCCATGTCACTTGACAGTATGCTTATAATCACGCTAAGTCCCGAAGAGTAGAAGTATCGCTGACATGCAGTGAAGGTCTCAACAACTTTCTGACTCATTATTACCTCGAGTTTGGACGGACGTTCAATCCAGACGCTTGGCTTGAGAGGAACCCTTACCATGACGCATTTGTTGATGACCAGGAAGAGTGGATGCATTACTAATATGCACGGACTGTACGTCCTTTGACTCATTAAATGCTATACGAGAATCTCAAGATGTGTCCTATACCTATGTTGAGTTGTACGGAGTACGGAGCCTTCCAGTATAAAGACGTTTTTTTACAGTGGAGAACGATAAGTCCAGGTGAGACAGGTCAAAGCGCCGAATCCAATCGCAACAGAGCAATTACCCCTCGGGCTCCTAAAGTAGTTTAAGTCAATAATAGCATTGTGAAGTCTCGTATCTTGTAGGCCGAAATATTACTTGTATATGGTACCTCGATCCACCACCAAATTTAGGTGGTGGCTAATGTCACCCTCTACCCGGAGTCCGTCCACCGCCGGTTTTGGAACAATTTGCCATTTTCTCTCTGACTCCTCTCCACCACCTTTATCTCCAACACCTTGAACATATTTGATTTGCTTTGAATCTGAGTAGTCTTTGCTCTTTTGCCTCAACGGCCCTCGGTCCCGGGACCCTCCCAGCAGTTCATCTCGAATTTGCGATGCTAGCCTTGTCCAGCAATCTAGTAAAATATTGTTGCTAAAGGGTTTACACTAATCAAATCCCGATCGCGTTACCCATTCATTACTGTCGCCAGCTGAAGAGCTGTGTGATCAAGTCGCGCGAGGTCCGAGAGAGCTTCACTTTCTGCTAGCTTCCAAGGTTTGCGGTCATGCTTCCGCAATGTCAAGGCCCCATCTGGGCTATTGACGACCTGTCTCGTTGCTTCCAACGCAAGTGAGTCTACACCAATGGGCAATTCCGACCGTTGAGATTTTATACTTATCCCGATATATCCCTTAATAGCATTCTTCAGGTTATATTTCCCCTCACAGTCTGCGGCGCTTCGCTGCTGCTGATCCTAGTTCGCCTCGCCCATCGATATGTCGTCACCCGAAAAGGTATCGCGTACAAGGTCATCCCAAACAACGAACCCGAAGACGAAGTCCCCAGTGCGACGCGGGAAAACGAGGCCGATACGATTCTGTCCCAAGCTGTACAACAAGAACACTCCCAGGTCGAGGTCGATCGCCCGCGCGGAGAGATCACCGTTGTATTACTCGAAATCGCTGCTCTAATTGGACAAGTTGCGGTCTATATCATCATTTTGTCGACTCATGCCTGGGGCCGACATGGAACCCTTCCCGCCGTAGCTGGACTTGTATCATGGGGCTATGTCCTTTTCTTGGTGCTGGTCCGGTTCCTCCTGTCGACCATGGATCTGTCCTCCGCCCCGAGACTATGGACACATACGGCAATCCTATACAGCTTCCAGTGGTTGTTCAACGTCATGGTCTTCCGATCCGCCGTTATCCATCCCTTGTCTCGGAACGCCTTGATTCTCAGCAGCGTTCAGTTTACTCTGAGTACGGTACTGCTGCTCATTGCGCTCACCACTCGCCGAGGCAACAAGCCAGTTCTAATTGAGCGAGAAGATGGATTGGAGCCTCCGACACATCCTATGGCCAGTTTGTTCTCTCTCGCGACATTTTCCTGGCTCGACCCTTTGGTCATGAAAGGCTATCGCCAACCCCTAGAGCTTGGAGATGTTTGGAACCTGACCCCGTCTCAGAAGGCCGCGAACGTGCTTATGGAGTTCCGCAAGAGACAAATGAAAGGTCCTTTGGCATGGAAGCTAGTTCGGTTCTTCATTGGGACGATTCTAAAGCAAGGTGCCTGGACAGTCTTTGCCAATCTATTCGTTTTCATGCCTAGTCTACTCCTAAAGGCTATCCTTGAGTACGTCGAAGATCCCCGGTCGACCACGCCCAATGCGGCTTGGTTGTTCGCCATTCTGCTTTTCTGTTGCGCCACGGTCCAGGGTGTGGCAGATGGACAGTCCTTGTTCATTGGTCGCAAGATGGGTGTGCAAATCCGTGCGATCATTATTGGTGAAATCTATGCCAAGGCTCTTCGCCGCAAGGCAGGCGCTTCCGTGGAAGCTTCCCCGAAAGCCGTAGAAGATCCAGTCTTGCCCAAGGATAAGAAGAAGAAGTTCTTCTCCTTTGGCCGCAAGAAGAAGGCCGCGGATAGAGATGATGCCGAGGCTGGCAAGAAGCCAGACCCCATAGGAGAGGAGCCCACACAAGCCAATGTCGGCACAATCATCAACTTGATGGCGATCGACTCATTCAAGGTAAGCGAGGTTGGCGCTTATCTCCACTTCTTGTGGGCTAGTGTGCCAGTCCAGATCATAATGGCGGTTGTTCTGCTCTACCACATCATGGGTTTCAGCTCACTCGCCGGTATCGCACTGATGGTCCTCATGCTGCCTATCAACCTTGTCATCGCCCGCCAGTTCAACAAGGTCCAGAACCAGATCTTGAAGGGCACTGATTCCCGTATTCACGCCACTAACGAAGTCCTCCAAAACATCCGCATCATCAAGTACTTTGCCTGGGAGCAGCGGTTCCAAGACGTTGTTGGCGAGAAGCGTAGGACCGAACTAAAGGCCCTGCGCAGGCGATACATCCTTTGGTCCTGTGCTGCAACCGTCTGGTATGGCACGCCTATTCTCATCACGTTCATGTCCTTCTTCTTGTACACCGTGGTCGAGAAAAAACAATTGACTCCTTCGATCGCATTCCCTGCGTTGTCCATGTTCTCGTTGCTGCGTGTACCCTTGGACCAGCTCGCGGATATGGTGGCCCACGTTCAGGAATGTAAGGTTTCCCTAGACCGTGTGGACAAGTACCTCAACGAGGAGGAAACGGGCAAATACGAGCAACTCCGTGATAGTACTACCACAGGAACGCCTGCCAAGATTGGTCTTGAGAAGGCAACGCTATCATGGAGCACCTCTACTGCTGAGGCCCAAGATGCCGGATCCAATGCTGACTTGGAATCTTTCCGCTTGATCAATATCGACGTCGAATTCCTTGTCGGCAAGCTTAACATCATTGCTGGCCCCACTGGATCTGGAAAGACATCCCTGCTCATGGCTATGCTTGGAGAAATGAAGCTCCTTGAGGGTCGGGTTCATCTGCCCGGTGGAATGTCCAGCAGGGCAGACCTTCCAGTGGACCCCGAAACTGGCCTGATTGACAGCGTAGCTTACTGTGCCCAGGAAGCGTGGTTGGTTAATGACACCGTAAAGGAAAATATCATCTTCGCCTCTCCATATGACGAGCGCCGCTATCGCTCCGTCCTAAAGGCATGTGCTCTGGAACGTGACCTTGCTATCCTTGATGCTGGCGATCAGACTCTTGTTGGCGAGAAGGGCATCAGTTTATCTGGTGGCCAAAAGCAGCGAATCTCTCTTGCCCGCGCTATCTACAGCAGTGCCCGCCACTTGCTGCTTGATGACTGTCTCTCTGCTGTCGACTCTCACACCGCCAAGCATATCTTCCGCCAAGCTCTTACCGGCCCTCTGATGTTGAACCGCACATGCATTTTGGTAACCCATAATGTTAGTTTGACTGTTCCCCAATCTGATCACGTCGTGGTGCTCGAGAACGGCAGAATTTCCGCCCAGGGTCGTCCTAGCGATGTCGCCGCTACTGGCGCATTGGGCGATGAGTTCCTCAAGTCTCGACCCGAATCCCGCGCCAGCTCCCATGGAGTTTCCCATGCCCCGTCGGAGCAGGAGGCTGAGGATGAAGACACGAACGGCTCCCCGAATGGAAAGGTCCAAGAAGACAAGGCCAAGCTCTCCGAATCCAAGGCTACCGGTAGTATCAAGTGGTCAACCGTGGCCATGTACCTCCGCGCCATGGGCCCATGGTACTATTGGATCGGTGCTGTTCTGGTGTTCTGCTTACAGCAATTGGGTTCTGTTGCTACCAACCTCTGGATTAGACAGTGGGCAAACTCATACCATACCGCCAAGGTTGGAAGTGAGGATGCCGGGCAGTACGCCGCCGCCGCCCACCTCAAGGCCCCAACTTTCAACGTTGGAAGCGTTGGGCGCGTGAGCAGCTGGAGCCTGCCCCACTTTGGTGCAAGCTCTGCCACCGAGTCCGATGGTGAGGTGAACGTGGCTTATTACTTGGGAGTTTATGCACTCCTTGGATTCCTGTACATCGCAATCTCTCTGTCTCGTGAAGCTGTGCTGTTCTGGGGTTCACTTCATGCATCATGGAAGATTCATGATCGCCTTCTCAGGGCGGTCATGCACGCCAAGTTCCGATTCTTTGACTCTACGCCTCTTGGACAACTGATGAATCGGTTCTCCAAGGATGTTGAGGCCATCGATCAGGAAGTCGCTCCTGTTGCTATCGGCATGCTCCACAGTCTGGCATCTGTGATTATGATTGTCATTCTGATCTCGTGGATCACGCCAGGATTCCTAATCGCCGGTGTGTTCATCACCATGGTGTACACTGCCCTCGGTGCCGTCTATTTGAACTCTTCCCGAGACCTCAAGCGTCTGGAATCAGTGCAGCGTAGTCCGCTGTACCAGCAGTTCGGTGAAACCCTGAACGGTATTGTCACTATTCGTGCCTATGGCGATGGTCCTCGCTTCATGATCGACAACCACCGCCGCATCAATGCCTACAACCGGCCACACATCTACCTTTGGGCTAGTAACCGCTGGCTCGCTCTCCGTGTCGACTGGACCGGTGCTCTGGTCGCCTTCTTCTCGGCTACCTTTGTGTTGTTGAACGTTGGAACGATCGATGCAGGTGCCGCTGGTCTTTCACTGACCTATGCGGTCACATTTACAGAGAACGTCCTCTGGCTTGTGCGTCTGTACTCCGAAGTCCAGCAAAACATGAACTCCGTCGAGCGTGTAAGAGAATATCTTGAGGTGGATCAGGAAGCAGCTTCTGTGATTGAAGAAGCACGACCTGCGTCCGATTGGCCCAGCCAGGGTGCGGTCGAGTTCAGTAAATACAGCACCCGGTACCGGTCCGATCTAGACCCGGTTCTCAAGGAGGTTTCGTTCTCCGTAAAGGCCGGTGAGAAGGTCGGCATTGTGGGTCGCACAGGTGCTGGCAAGAGTTCTCTCGCGCTCGCTCTGTTCCGTGGTCTCGAAGCCGAGGCGGGTCAGATCATCATTGACGGCGTTGACATCGGATCAATCGGACTGCGTGACCTGCGCGAGGCAATCACCATTGTCCCCCAAGATCCGACCCTGTTCACTGGAACCCTCCGCAGCAACCTCGATCCGTTCGGTCTTTTCAGTGATGAGCAGATCTTCACAGCCCTCCGTCGCGTGCACTTAATCGGATCCAGCGCCTCAGGCACCGCGACCCCAACAACTGCAAGCTCCCTTACCGCGACGGAAACCAACGGCAACGCCAACGGGGTGAGCAGCAGCGCTGTCACAGTAGTCGACAACAAAAACGTCTTCCAAAACCTTGATAGCCAAGTCTCGGAGTCGGGCTCCAATCTTTCCCAAGGTCAGCGGCAGCTCCTCTGTCTCGCCCGCGCCTTACTCAAGAACCCCCGCGTCTTGATGATGGACGAAGCAACCGCGTCCATCGACTATGCCACCGACGCTAAGATCCAAGAGACCCTCCGCGAACTGAGCAATAGCACAATCATTACAATCGCGCACCGTCTGCAGACCATCATCGACTACGATAAAGTCCTTGTCCTCGACCACGGCCGCGTCATTGAGTACGACCACCCCTGGACCCTCATTAACCAAGAAGGCGGTCTCTTCCGCGGCATGTGCGAGAACAGCGGACAGATGGATATCCTTCTCGACGGCGCCCAGCGTGCTTGGACCCAGAAGCGTCTTGTTGATGATTCTTAGAGCAACGGCGTTCGCTATTGCTCCCATTTCAGTTTTCCAATCTTATAGAATCTCTCGCGTACATATCCATTGTTACCCTACTTTGTCTATTACCTATTCTCGGCCCCCGCTCATTCCTCGGGGATGCAAAAAAGTGAGAGTGAGAGAGACATCAATGTAATCATTTTCTAGCCAAAAAAGGCTTCATCATCTATTCCGAGATTATCATGCAGGTGGTTCTGCTCATGGCATCTTGCACACCGTGTGGCGTCTTCGGTTGCTTTTCATTCCTTTCTGCTACATACATGCACCCATATCTTTTCTCGGTTTTTTGTACTCTTACATCTATTTCATCGTTGGATGGCACATATTGTCAAAATCTATGTTTATGATAGACAATGAGAATGTTTGCATATTACTTCAGGTTGTGTAGAGCTTTTAATCCATTACAAGAATAGTCGGCCGATTATGCGGCCTTGTGATGTCTCTTCAGTGGTCTTTTCAGATATCATTCTGTTTAGATGCCTTGCCAGTTTTATAGGTATAAGTTTGATACCACTAGCTTGGCGAGCTAGCTATGTTGATGGCGTAACAGTCATGGAAGAATTTGTATTTGGGACGAATAAACCTACATACAGTGAAGTGACTTTTTGATAATGGGAAACACTGTATGTAGGACGATCCCAATAACAGGATGGGAGGTCTTCGATCTGAACAAGCCTGTCCACCTTCATGCCCAAGCTACTTCTTCGTCTGTTCAGCCAGTCTCGAACACGAAGTGCGCAGCATTTCATTCCGCCCGCATAAACACGCCATCTTCGATATCTCCTCTTCTCAACTGCCACCCTCATTGCTTGTCGCGAGCCTCACGCGTCGGGACGGGAAGCAGCTGGATCACAGCATTGGTCGTCACACAGGGTTGGCCGAACCATTCAGGATGTATTCCGTCAAGCCCTAAATCCAGAACTAGCATCCCCCCATTTCTGAGTGTATTCCACCATATTATCGAAGAAATCCCATATCGAGGATACGATCGATTGCCGATTCAAAGGGACGGGATTGGCGCAAGTCCCACAGTAATGAAACAAGCTCCGACCGAGTGGAGAAAGCTCTCTCAAGGCTGAAATATGAAATCACATAGCCCCGAATCCCATCCATCTCTCCGATCGAAAAGTGAAACGAGTTTTTCAAATTAATCAAACAGCACGGCCCATCCTCACTTAGCGCGGATCCCCCTCAGTACGGTAAAGAAACACACGATCGCAGCGGAGATAACAAAGAATCCAAACGGTGGCCAGTAAGTCGGATAGCCATCTGATCCTAGTATGGCCATGATAGGTTCTTTCAGAATGGACTGCGACTGCGACAGCTTTGTGTCTTGAGTGTATGCCGGTGTAGCCGGTGTAGCCGTGCCGATCACTGCATCCGTATTCGGAAGTGCATATCGAAGCTCCGTGTTTGTTTTATGCTCGGACTCCGTAACTGGTTTTGATGAGGGGATGAAGCCTGCTTCGCGCATTGTTTCTTTCAGCATTGCTTCGAGCTCATCTTGGTCCGGGAGGGTTTCTGGGAAGTAGTATCGCTTATCGTGCGTGGTTGACGCAAGGGATTTGGATGCGATTTGGTTTTCGTTTGGAGTTGGAAGTGCGAGGATTTGGACTGAGTACAATATGACCAGGGCAAGTCTGCCGGCCATTTTGCGATATGGTGATATGGTGATAACGGAGGGTCGCGGGTGGGGATTTGATAAGATGCTTTTTCACTTAGGCAGTTCGAGAATGATGACAGATGATATATAGAAGAGTAAGAGAGAGAGAGAGGAAGAGAAATAAAGAGCACGTGGAGTTAAAAGCGGACAGTGCATATAAGCTGATTGAATGATTCAATACCATCTCATACATTTTCTATGGCGCAAACGCCCAGGCCTTTATCTTTCTTCCAAGCCTTATAACTTGGGACCAATAGATTATAAGCTTATGCCCCCGTGGATCTTTTCTTTGCAACTTTGCAACTCTCGCAACTTTTGCCGACAGAACAAAGCATCTTCACCTTCACATTACCCCTCCAATACTGAATACCCTTACATTCAGGCGACCAGCGCAAAAGCAGCTTCCCGCGTGCCAAGACATGTAAATGTGCCAAGACAATATCTCCGCACGCCCCTAACTAGATTACCCTGCAGACAGTGTGACGGATAGCTGCGGATGACTATGACTGCATGATGCCGTGTGAGACGGGTTTAACAGTATGCGATTCATCTGTTTCACCGCATTTATCCCTAGGCTAAATAGTAGTTTGGGAGCTGTTATCACTGTTGCGCACGCGGTTGAAGTCGCCAGTGCAATGACTGATCAGTTTAGTGTTAAAATGCCGCCGGGTAAAGACTGGTTCATGTTCATGTTTTATTTTATTGGATATGCTCTTATCAGGGCAGCATATACGAAATGCTACTCAATAACATGACAGCCATGCAGATACTCCTAAACCCAAGCTACATGAGCCACTCTATATGCGAGAACTTGCGCGATTTGTACACAACCAATGACTTGTGTACAAATCGTGCAAGGCGAACATTATGGTGCACACGGAATACGGAAATAGGACATTGAGCGTTATTGAAACATCGATGATACTAAACACCGTGACAATAACATAGTTTGCTGTGAACTGAACTAAACATCTATAACTTCCTTATCGATTGGCCTGCTAATGATATACACCTCTTCGTCTATGGAGTAGGTATGATTGGATGGTTGGATAGTATTTTTATTTGGGGTATATATAGTTGGGGTATGTGAGATGTAGTTATCTGTGTTGGGGTAGATCACTCTGCATAGAGCTTTAAATTAGTCTAACTAACCCTATAGCTCTATCTTGGCGCTGATAACAATTAAGTGCGTGATATTAATTTGGGGTAAAATTGGAGACAGGTAAGAATGATGGTCGACCAAGTAAAATATATACTAGGAATAGTTTGAATTAGACCTATTCACTTCTCCAACATCGCACCGGTCTTCGCAGGCATCAAGGCCCCAGGAGGAGGAGCGTTCTTATTCTTGAACTCGTCGCAAACCTGTTCCATCGTCACAAATTCAACCCCATCGTGCTTCTTGAAGTGCTCAATAAGCCTGTCAAATGTCAGTCATACTCCGCGCAACCTTATCATCAGATCATACCTTTCATGCATCAGTAACACATGAGGTCTTCCCGAAACATCCGGGTGGATAGTAATCGGGAAGATAAACTCATCATACTCGCGGTAGAAGTAGTCAAAATGGTCACGCCAGATATCTTCTATATCCCGGGGGTTGACAAAACCATGACTGTTGGGCGCGTTCTTGATGAACAACATCGGCGGTAGATCATCAAGATACCAGTTAGACGGGATTTCAACAATCCCTGTTTGAGGACCATGCTCAAGGGGTTTCATCCAGGTTTCAGCCTTCTGCTTGTAATCAATCTTAGTCCAGCTGTCGCCTGTTCGCAGGTAATAGGCCTGGCAGTCCTCATGGCTCATGCTGTGATCGTACTCGATGCCGTAGTCGAGAAGGAGTTGGGCTCCTTCTCTGCTAGTTTCCCACCTATTTGAATTTCATTAGTGCCGCTGCATTCCAAATTCAAGTCGGTCGTACCAGGGTGCCACGCTTCCTCGAGGAGGCTTTCCGGTGAACTCGGTCAACATCCGGTATGTTTTATCGAGTACATCGCGCTGTTGCTTCAGTGACATATCTGTCGGGTTCTCGTGGGAATAGCCGTGTAGGCCGATCTCGTGGCCCGCGTCGCGGACCGCGGCCATGTCCTCCGGGAAGGTCTCGAGGGAGTGGCCCGGGATGAACCATGTTGTTTTGATGTCATATTTCTTGAATAGTTTAAGCAATCGTTGAGTTCCAATTGTCCCTGCCCAGTATCCTATACGAGAGTCAGAGTAAGTTTCCAGGGAGAGTAACACTGAAACCTACCCCTGCTGATATCATTTGTGGAATCCTCGCCACCGTATGAGCCTAACCAACCGGCTACAGCATCAACATCAACACCATAGGTAATTAGAACTCTCTTTGGTGCCATTGTTGAATGATAGTTGGAATGATAATTGTTCAAACCTCCCGAGGTCGGAGAGGGTTGGCCTTTAAACTCCAAGTGAATGCGGGGAAGATAAGCCCCTCGGGCACATCCCCCACTGGCTGGGAGACAATTCCACTCTGATTTATGCGATGATCTCTTTATTCTTTATAAAAACATTCCCCATTATCTCAGTCCTTCTAAATCCCACCCGGAATGCCGAGATGTCTCCAATTGGGGTCCGCTGTGTTGGGGTAGTGATTGTCTCACAGGAAATGAGACCCATAGTGGACTCTAAGATATAAAGTGTTGGAGAAGAAAGATCAGAAATAAATTTGACAATGGAAATTCTTCATAAACTGCGAAATCCCCAAGGACGATGCTAACGTATCCAACGGTAGAGTGATAATGTCGGTCCTTTTCACAAATATTTCAGAGTAAGTGTTTCGACATTCGCTGATTGCATCATAATCTGACTAGATGTTGTCTTAGGAGCAACCCCGTTAAGCCGGGCGATGCAGAAGCCCTTCTCAAACCGCTCGGTCTGACTATCGACCCAGCCGAGGCGCAAGATTTCCACACCCTTCTCGCAGCAGTCCACGACTGCGCCGAAAGTGTAGCCTCATTGCCAGACTATCAGCCACTCCCCGATCAGCTCAAGTACCCACGGGAGAATGTGCGCCGACCAAACGCAGAAGAACAGGTTTTCGGGCAAGCATGGGCACACCGATTTCTGATCCGGGGTAACCCCGAAGCCGGGCCGCTGGCAGGTAAATCTGTCAGTTTGAAAGATGTCATTGCTGTTGCAGGTGTACCTCAGCTTCTGGGAAGCGATATCATTCCTTCCTGGACACCGACTACAGACGCAACTGTCGTAACGCGCTTGCTCGAGGCTGGCGCTGATATCCATGGAACGTCGACGTGTGAGAATCTTTGCCACTCTACTTCCTCGTATACCAGTGCTCAGGGTACGGTGGAGAATCCGCATGCGAAAGGTTATTCGGCCGGTGGGAGTACATCTGGCGGTGCAGCGCTGGTCACCGCCGGTATAGTGGACATTACAATCGGAGGTGACCAGGGTGGTAGTATACGTGTTCCCGCTTCGTTTTGTGGATGTAAGATGTCTTTTTTCCATGGTGTATATTCCAGGAGCTAATTTGTTTCTAGGCGTCGGGCTTAAACCCACCTACGGGCGTGTTCCTTACACTGGGATTGCTAGCGGCGACGCCATGAATGACCATGCTGGCCCGCTAGCCCGAACAACACTTGAGGTTGCAAGATGTCTAGATATTATTAGTGGATATGATGGCATCGATGATCGAGCTGTCGGTAGCTCGAAACCAGGCTCTACTAGTTTCGCTGCAATCCAGCAGAACCCGGACACACTCGACGGCTTCAAGGTTGGCATTCTTGTTGAGGGATTTAACCATAGCGCTGTAGATCCATGTATCAAGGGCGCGGTATTGACTGCCGCCCAGAAATTCAAAGATCTGGGCGCAACAATTGAGGAGGTATCTCTTCCTGAGCATCTGCATGGGCCTGCCATATGGACTATTCAGCAGCGAATTGCCGGGGCGCAGACTCTTTTGGGCCAGAATACAGGCCGAAGAGGGCTTTACATGACTGAGATGGAACGTGCACGACTTCCGTGGACTGATGATGGTTTCCAGAGGGCATTCCCGTCTACAAAGAACGTTATCATTAACGGCCTCTATCTAATGCAACAATTCCCTGGTCTCTATGGCAAAACTGCCAACATTGGACGACTTCTCAGTGACAAGTATGAAGCACTGTTTGAGAAGTATGATATCCTGGTAATGCCTACGACACCGGTTGTTGCCCCTCGACATGGAAAGCGGGAACTCCCGCTAGATTCCCTCAGGCCTAGTATGGGACTTACAATCAATACTGCCATCTTCAATGTGACGGGTCACCCGGCACTAACTATACCTGTTGGGTTTGCTCCAGCAAAGGAAGATAACCAGATCATGCTGCCTGTTGGGATGCAGATTGTTGGCGGATTGTGGCAGGAAGAAAAGATCTTGCGGGCTGGGAATACCTGGGAGACTCATTTTGACTGGAAGAAGATGCATTACTCTATGGATAAGAACTAGTCTTCATTTGTGCTGTCGTATTCAAGTATTTGAATTGATATCCTTGTCATGTCAACATGTATCTAGACCGTTATATATCCACCATCAACCACCATGGCATGGCCTTGTACAAACGATGCCTGTGTTGAACACAAGAAAAGAATTGCATCAGCTACTTCTGCTGGCTGACCCATTCTCTTCATTGGTGCGGTTTGTACTGCTGGCATAATAGCATCACGGACCTCGGGTTTCTCCATTACTAATGGCGTTTCAATAACACCCGGACAGACACAGTTGACTCGAATTCCATCTTTGGAATAGTCGATTGCATCTGCACGTGTCATTCCGATGACAGCAGCCTTCGATGCACAATATGCAGCTATCACAATATTCAATAACATGTTTTCAGTATAAAAAGACAACACTTACGAGCATCCGGTCGGCTGACAATTCCAAGTTGACTGGCAACATTTACCACCGCACCACGCTGAGGTGGACGATTGACGTCATGGCTAGGTAGTCCACTTTGTTTAACCATTTGCCTAAGCTCTGCGCGAGATGAGAGCCAGCAACCTCGGTAGTTGATGTTATTGACGCGATCGAATTCTTCAAGTGATGTCTCTGTCGATGGTAGAGATTTACCAAGAATACCTGCGCAATTCACGGCATAGTCTACTCGTCCGAAATCTTGTACAACTGCATCAATGAATGAATCTGCGAATTGATCGTCCGCCACGTTCCCAGCCTTTACTAGCAACCGTACATCGGGATATCTTGATGTTATGGCTTCTGCAGTTTGATTCAGAGACTTCTCGTTGAGGTCTGTTATAGCGATTTGGTTACACCCAGCTGCAGCAAAGGCTTTTGTAGTTGCAGCGCCAATTCCTGTGTTGCGTGAGTGACGGATATTGATGTTTCGGGTACTTAGCCTACCAGTTCCACCAGCACCGGTAATTACTGCAACACCAGGAAACATATTGAATGCAGCCATTTTGAAAGAATAGCCCTGGAGATCTAAATAATATCTGTTAATGTCAATGTCAAGTTCTCTATACCTCAGGTCTCCAAATATCAACCCCACCTTTATCGCTTATCGCGGGCCGAAAGGTCCCGGCGGGCCCCAAATTGGAGCAGTTGGGGTCGAATCTCCCACTTCGACATCCACTGTTCAACCCCCAGGCCTCGTTTTCTCCAATCCAGTTCTCCATCCCCCAATGTTTCAATGTCCCCCTCACCCCAGCCGCACAGGGGTGCCCGTGGAGCAAAGGCACGCATTTGTGTGCACTGCGGTCGGAGTTTTCGACGGACTGAACATTTAGAGCGACACATCCGTACTCGTAAGCAATTCCCGGGGAAAACCCCCCGCAGCTAATGCTAACTTGGCTAGACACCAAAGAGAAGCCATTCATTTGCTTCTGTGGGGCGGCATTTACTAGACGGGATCTATTGAAGCGTCACACGCGTATTTCACATCAAGATGGCCTGACCTCACCGACGCCGCCCGAGCCAACGACGAAGGCGGATTTCCAGCCAACGCATCACCCTGCATCGATCGCCCCGGAATATGATACACCAACGAGATCTGTACCCGCACCCCTTGCAGGATCATCGGCTGTGCACCAATGGGCTGGGTCACAGAACGCGCCTTATTTAGATCAGCATCACAATGCCGGCATGCTCCCTGCTGTTACTACGGGAGCTCCACACCCTGCTATCGATCCTCATACGGGTATGGTGCATGATCCCGATATGCTTCAGGCTGCCCAGTTGCTTCTTCCGGGAGATTACCGACCTACAGGTGCGTTTTTATAGTTGCATACTCATGACTTCCTAAAATCCCGTGTAACATGAACGTCTGTCGTTTCCTCTCGGGATGATATTTCAATTTGACTACTATCTTGGAAATCTATTGATCTGACACAAATAATAGCGCAACCGATGCCCTATTTGCCTGAAGATTTGAATCATTTCCAAGAATTTACCCATTTTTTGGATTCCATTGGCTTGCCCGGGGAATGGGTTCCCAGTGAAGGTGAAAGATCGCAGACCCAGGAGGTTAACCTGGAAGACGTGAGAGAGGCAGATCGACTGGCCCAAGAGCACCATGAGCGGCCACGACGAAGCGGAGAGGGTTCTCGAGGAGATTCACCATTCAGATCATGGCTTCCATCTGTACCGAGGGGCGACCAAAGCCTAGGGACACTTTCTGATTCTGGTATATAACGACTCGTATCGCTATGATGTTTTAGCCCACTGACAATATTCCAGAACCACCACATAACGCAAAGAGGACATCACGATTCAATGTCACCGAAGACCAACGGTTTCGGCTTGCGGCATCTCTTGAAGAATTTCGCCATGTCATTCCGGATTTCGTACTGCCGTCTCGTCACACTTTGACTCGGTACCTCACTTCCTATTTTGAAGGATTCCACCCGCACCTTCCGTTTATGCACATCCCAACTTTTAATATCAATGAACGCGCCCCTGAGGTGGTTCTTGCTATCATGACGATCGGAGCTCAGTATCGATTTGAGCACCGGAACGCAGAGAGAATATTCCACGTCTCCAAGGCAGTTTTATTTGAACGAATGTCCAGAGAGCCCCGTTTCCCAGCCAAACCCAGTTATAATTCAGGCTCCCAAGTACCGCTGGGGATATCTCCTTATTCCAATTTTGGCGATCAATCCCTCACCCGGCCGCAAGTGTCAGCGGAAAGGAGTGCTGTTTGGAAGCAGATTGAAATCACCCGCTGTCTCCTTATTCTGATGGGCTACTCCACGTGGGAAAGTGCCAGACTGGTACAGGAAGCATTCCATCTTCAGGGCTTGTTGGTTCGACATCTCCGCGAGGCTGGCCTGACAGAAGACATAACACGTTCTGATCCACGTGCACCACTTGACTGGTACGAATGGGCGGACCAAGAATCCGCGCGACGCACAAAGTTGATTGCATTCTGCTTTATCCATGTTCACAGCATCGCATACAATGCTTATCCATCTCTGCGCAGCAATGAAATCCACCTGCGTCTTCCATGTTCTACCATCGAGTGGACCGCTAGCACCGCTGCGGAATGGGAAGCAGCCCAGCGAGAACGAGGTCCACAGCAGCTCTTCTTCCAAGACGCATTGACCCTTCTCTTGCAAAAGTCCCGATCAGCCGTGCCACTAGACCCCATCCCGGCACCATTGGGTAACTATATCCTCTTGCACGGACTCCTGCAACGGATCCACCTCGTGAGCGAGTTATCATTGCCAAATGGCAACCACTCCACAACTCTCCCAACAGAGGAACTGAATAAACTAGAGTAAGTCCCCTACCCAAAAACCTTCCCCGAATCCATCCCTAACCATCGAATCCATAGACGAGCTCTCCGCTCCTGGACCTCCGTGTGGCAACAAGCCCCAGAATCCAGCCTAGACCCACACAACGCAAACGGCCCAATCCCATTCACCTCCAGCGCATTCCTGGGGCTCGCATATGTCCGCCTATCTCTAAATCTCGGTCCTCACCGTCGTCTCGAGACCCGCGACCCGGTAATAATAGCCACTGCCCTCCGCCGCTCTCCACGTCCAGAACGAAGCTACCGTCTCATCCCGGCACTTATATACGCCGCTCATGCCCTCAGTATCCCCGTGCGTCTGGGCATAGACCACATTGCTCGCAGCCAAGCCTTCTTCTGGAGCGTGCGACACTCGCTGGCTAGTATTGAATGTGCAGTGTTGCTAAGCAAATGGCTGTTTACCCTTGCCGAGGCGGGATCGGATCAGTCGTTAAGTGGTATGTGTATATCCTATCTGCTAGAGTAATTTATCGGCTAACAATTGCGATGCAGAAAACGAAACCCGCATTCTACGTTGGACTCGCTGTATTATCGAGGAGGCGTATTCGTCTATTGATACGGATGATGGCGAGGCGCCGCCAGACCTCGAACCGGCTTCTTTGGGATTGGCTGTCCTCAAGCTGTGGGCTAGGTTGTTTGGAACAAACACTCAGTGGCCTTTTATTAATGTTCTTGGACAGAGCTTGGAAGAGTATATGACTATGATTTGACGTTAATACTTCACTTTTGGCGTTCGTATATACTGAAGTTTTTGGAACATAATGTATTCATGATCTCACGATCCAGGCGGATGACTCTGACTTCTATCTATGCCTAGTCTTGGAAGGCTTTGGAGGTTGTATTTCCGGATCTTCCAAGTGAATTGTCTCAAATGAGGGTATTCAACTCATATATAGGCATATATCCAAATAATAATGATGTACAACTAAACTGAAATTATTCAAAAGATTGAGCGATACACTGATGCTTGTGCACATGGCGCAATACCGTTTTTTTGTGCTTTTCTATTTTCTCTTCTCTTCGGTACATATCCCATCCCCCCGAGTTCACAACTCCACCACTGAGCTCACCCTTACCGGTGAACCTAGCAAAACAAACACCGCAGCAAAGTGACATCTGCTGCCGACCTAGGAGAGGTCGATCAGCTCTCCCTCCATAGGGGAGAACAGAAGTTCATCGACCCTCGGAGTGACCGAGATATCGGCTAGATTCTCTCTCTCTCTCTCACCCCCCAGCACCCCCATTTCTCTCACTTCTCTCACTTCTCTCACTTCTCTCACTTCTCTCACTTCTCTCACTTCTCTCACTTCCCTCACTTCTCTCACTTCTCTCACTTCTCTCACTTCTCTCACTTCACTCACTTCTCCTCTCACTTCTCTCACTTCTCTCACTTCTCTCACTTCTCTCACTTCTCTCACTTCTCTCACTTCTCTCACTTCTCTCACTTCTCTCACTTCTCTCACTTCTCTCACTTCTCTCACTTCTCTCACTTCTCTCACTTCTCTCACTTCTCTCACTTCTCTCACTTCTCTCACTTCTCTCACTTCCAGCACTCCCGATTCTTTCACTTCTCTCTCACTTCCAGCACTACTCCTCCCTCTTTATACCCCTCTTTATACTCATTCCCCCAATCCAGCGCGAAAATCTTCTCAATATGTACAGGAATCCTCTCAATTCACACCTAGATCTGCTGCTGAGGTCTGTCCTTCCAGGCTTTCTCCCACGCCTTAATCGCCTCGGTTCTCGACTTCGGCGCCCCTTTCTTCGTTGTATACCTCTGAAACCAAAACCACGCTAGTCCAATCAAATTTAAATCCGGCAAATTATCAGGCCATAGGAAGTGTTAAATACCAGTGATATCAAGAATCTTCTATTGATAATAGTACTAGTGCGAGTGTGCTTTATACTTTTAAACAATTATGCCAGGTCATATCTTAGAACACTAAAGCGAAAGAAAGGTAAGAGCTTTGGAAGCAGAATCTTCATATAGTATTGATTTGGTAGTAATAGCAAAAGTACTAGTTGTTTTATTCGAAAAAGTAAATAAATTTCCCCTCTACAACTTTAGACATGGACCTCCGTAGTTAGAACTTCGGCTTTAAGATCACCATCGTCGTCGAGGTCAATTAGGCTTACTTGGTCCGGGTCAGCGATGTTCTGCTCCGCTGGTGTAGCATCCTGAGGGTGTTTCAGTCTAAGCACGAGCTCAAAGTGACGAGGAATCCTGTTCATTGAGTCTACATGTTCTGCTGGGAGGGAACTTGTCTCCGAGGACGTTTCCCTCCAACCACATGCCCAGCTCGACGATACTCGTCGATTTCCATCCCCTTTCCTTCATCATCCCAAGGGCGTTTCCCATTACCATGGGGCTGAGCCCGATGGTAATCACCCTGTATGGCCCCACCCTGCGCAAGAGCCTGCCATCTGCGCACACTCTCTGCAAATCTCGGGTCAGTATTGGTTCGAACTGCAGCAAAGTTGCGGATTGGAGTTTGGGTTCAGCTTCGAGGAATTGGACCGATCATTGCATCGCGTTCCTCCTCTTCACCGATATCGTCCCAGTCGGATCCGCCGTCAAAGATCTGGGTTTTGGTTTCCTTACCACTGACACAGTAGCAGTCATGAATGTGTGGTGGGGAGCATATACAAATGCAGGGCATGTTGCAGCATTCGCGAATTTCACTGCATTTCTGTTTGCAGGATACCCAGTCGTGCTCAGAACTATTGACGATAGGTGTTAATATATATATATAGAATCTGTTATCAATTTAATCTGACCCATGGCATTTACGGGGACACGGATGTCCGCATGGCAGATCCCTGTCGCAAGGCTTGCTGCAACCATCAGTGATAGCGTTCCAGTCTTTGAGACCTAGAAGAGACAGTTAGACTATTTTCATTTTCATTTTTTGTTAGTATCGCGAGGGGACTCACTTCTAATGAGGGTTTCTTCGTTATGTCTTTCACAGAACAGGGGTAAAGCCGAGCCAAGACGGGGATCTTGTGGATCTTCGGTCATCAAGTTGGTAACTGAATGCCAGAAATCACTGTATTTGCTGACACATTGTGCGTTGCCAAAAATGTAAAGGCCGTATTTGGCACGGGACAAGGCAACGCAGATTCTGTTGTCCTGCTGGAGAAAGCCGATACCTCGATGATGATTGGATCGAACGAGTGAGAGAATTACAATGTCATTCTCTTCTCCTTGATAAGAATCGACTGTCAGGATATTGACGTATGTTTGGGCGACGTTTGGATTCTGCCCCTTCTTCCGCATAATCAACTTCCTTTGGCCATTGTAGAATGTCAGAACAGTGATACTGCTTGCCGGGACCTTGTTCATCACAAGGTAGGCAAGGAAATTGACCACCATCGATGCCTCAAAGTCATTGACTTTAGAGGATAGACTGTCGGAGCTTTCATGTGAGGGGTGGTCGAAAAAGAATGATCGCTTATCTCCCATGCCAGGAACAAATGGGTGGTGATAAACAGACGGATGATCGTGCAGGAGATTCCCATAGACAGGAGCCACAAGCTTTCTGATTTCTGGTACCATTCGTCTCTGCTTTTGAAGCATGGCGTATGGCATTTCATTTACCATCAGACGCTCAAACATGGAGACATCGAGGTAGAAAGGGCGACCACGCAGTTCATGGTCGGCACACTGACCCCTGAGCTGCAGGTGATCACCAACAAGAATGAGGTGTTGAAGTGATGGAAGGCAAGCAACTGCAACTGGGGCTTCGAGTACTTGCGCTGCCTCCTCAATCAATATGACTCGGGGATTCAAGCTCGAGACCAATCCTCTGTATTTGCTCAGACCAGTGGTGGTCATTCCAATGATATTTGCCTTCTGGAGGATACAGTAGTCCCGTTCGAATCTGCCAGTTTGGAAATTGGCAGAGCAATCTTTGTAAACTTGAGCGATGGCATGTAGCTGTTCTCCCAGGATCTTGATCAGCTCCCTGCGCATGTAACCATAAACAGAGCCACGACAGTTCGGGTGAATGTTGTAAAGGTGCTTCTCTTTCAGCCAGCGCTCAATAGTCGCCCGAGAGATTTCCGCTGTACCGGAACCGCAAAGACCGGGTGATAAGTGGAAAAAGCGGGTTCTGAAAGTCGACCAGTCATCCTCATATCCTCCACGTTCGACTTCGATCTCCTTCAGCTGTTCATACTCCAAGTCAATATCATCATTGGCAAACCCGAATCCACCAATGTATTTGGAGTCGAACGGCTGCATGCAGCCCGTAAGCCAAGCCCGCAACGGATCGGCGTCTGCAGGGAGATTGGGTTGCTGCCAATTTAGTGCAACTTCTTCCAAAGACTGGAACTGCTCTTTGCTCAGAATACCGTACTCTAGAAACAGAGACGCTGGAATAGGCTGGTCGCTGTTTGATCGCGAAAATGGCTCCAGGAGCTTCTCAATCTCAGTAGCGATCTTGTTCTGTTTCTTTTTCATTGGATCCATCAGGCCTCCCTCAATTGTCAATAGACCATAGTTCTGTCTGATCTCATAGGGGGTGCGCTTTCGGATGTCAGGATCGTTCGTTCTTCCCCCCAGCCGCACAAAGTTCTTCTCAAACACCGAGATATGCTTGATAAGTTGATCGAGAGCATGGTTAGTCTGAGCAGCGATGATAATGGGGGGATCGTTTGGTCCTTTATTTGCGAGCATCATCTTTAAAGCAGCAATGGAGGTAAAGGACTTTCCTGTTCCAGGAGGGCCCTGGATTATGGCTAGTCTTTTAGTCAACATTCGATTCAGGGCTGTCCATTGGGATGCATCTAGCTTTCCCATTGGGTGGGAGGGCCATTGCTCAAGGATGTCGTATTTTTCAGTGATATCGAATGCCGATGATTCAGACAATGGCGCGAAGTCCATGCGCGGTGCAGCGTTGATGTACTCCGGCGCATCAATGTCTCTTGCCAAGCTGCAGATATGCTCGTTCAATGGAAAACTAGATAAGGTTAGATAATGCTCTCGAACATAATACTGATCTGTAGACTGACCTCTCCTTTGACAACTTTTGCAGTGCTGTCAGGGTGTGTCGGTTTGCTTCGAAATATCCCGCTCGAGCCTCAACCATGATCCATTCTTGCCTAGTGAGATATAATAGTCAACATCATCGTCTCTTGCAGATCACACTGTAATAGAATTACTTACTGAGGATCAAAGTCGATATCATTGGGCGAGGCCAAGAAGATATCAACCTCCGGGGGGTCTTTTTCGACCCCTTCCAGTAGCCGGCAGGCCACAACGGCAACAACACATTTGCTGGAGAACGCATTTTCCTTTGGAGACAAAGCAATGAGGGTTCCCGGATTAAGACGATTGGAGTATGACCAGGCAATGTTTTTGCCCGCGCGGCGAGTAGAGAATTGAATATGCAACGCGAAACCCGCGCGGGCTAGGGTAACACCTGTAATGAAAACCTTTGACGTAAAAGAATACGAGTCAGTAATCTATAACTGTCACATCTTGATGATAGTACTTACCTTCTCGTAGATAGAGATGTCCGCGGTATCATTCATAAAAGGATCGGCGCGAACCTGGCCCACAGCATTTCGAAGTGGTGTAACCGAGTCTTCTCGAATCAATGCATAATGAGTCTCAAGGTATTTCTCCTTGGAAACCCAGGGTTCCCAGATACGATTGGTGGGGAGGGAGACAACGTCTCCCGGTACATCTGTTCCGAGAATTTCTTTGGCCGAAGGAAGCTCTGGCTGGGTTTGCCAAAGTTTCCAAGGGCCATAGACTGGTAGATCTGGGTTGTAGTACTGGCGGATATCCAGATTCACAGGTTTGACCCGCTCGTTGGACGAACGGCCGTATTTAAAGCGAAAGGACGCCATGGTTATCTAAAAGAAGTGTGAGATTAGTACATATACGTAGGTGCGAGTAGTCTGCGACCTCACCAAGGCAATGCAAGCGATGATCCCAACCCCTAAATTTTATCCTTTGAAATCGCCTGTAGCCTGATTTTTGGACAGGCTTATTTATGAGACAGGTGAATTGATGGAAAGTGAAAAGTGGAAATGGAAATCGATGTGGAAAGTGAAAGTGGGAAGCGTGTAGGGTGGAAAGGTGAAGAAAGAGAAGCAAAAAATGTCGACGTTAAATCGAGTGCAGAGTGTTTGTTAGATAAATTGGGAGAAAAGGGGATGAAAGGTCAATTGTGTAGGAAAATAACTGAGAAGCGACTAAAGTGTGGAAGGAAGTAAGAGGGGAATGTTTGCTGCTTGGTGCCTACCTAGGTATTCCGGTCCATCATAATCAGATTAGATCCAGATATCAAGAATACCTCTTATCTACAATACCCTAGCAAATATATTTCAAGCAGTCAAGCTCATTGCTTTCTAAAATTCCCCAAGGATGTATTCATTTCCAATAGCGCCGTCGCTTGTTGGATTCAAGAGAAATAACCTGGGTATCTTCCTCTTCCTCTTCTATCCTCCTCTTCGGGTCAATCTCTGTCTCTTTCACTGTCTCAAGAACTGATATGGGCATTTGTTTCGCCTTTTCATTGTGAGAAAGGCTGATTCAAGATCAAAAGTCGAGACTCAAGGAAGATTTCATAGGGGAATGAATCATTTTAGGCAATTTATAGTACACCGAGGCTCATTGATATACGGTCTGGCCCGATCTCAGCTCGAGGCGCGCTATGAGTACTAGTAGTGCTTATAGTTGATATGGTAGGTAAGACCTCTCATCGGCATAACCCATATCTACAACGCATAAAGTACAGTGTAAGCAACAGCATACCAGAGTGTCACACCTTGTCCGGGATTGTGGGAATACTAGCTTGCCAGACACACTAAGCCGATTCAAAACACTTGCACTGATGTATATGATCGTAAACTTCACAATCCAAGTACGGAGGTTGAAAAGATATGTACACGTGACGTTGGGATGACAAAGGATTTGGTAAAAGCCCTGGAGGGATCCCTTAAACAGGCATTGAAGTTATTATTTCGGCAGCTAATTGACCGTCGATTGTCTAATATTATAGGATCTAACTGGACATAATTGATATGGCATTACATTGTACATTGTAGTACCCCTAGAGGTTATACAAGTTCCCCTTGATGCTCATTGGTCCGCCCATCGGATCCATATCGGTCCATTTTAAGCCGCGGCGTAACGCGCGACTCTCCTTGTACTCCAGAGCTGGTGCATAATTCCAATCTCACCGTTATTTTTGTCTCATTTCCGTTTGTGCTGGAGATCTTTGTTCAAAATAATCCAATCCCCTCATTCAATTACTTTGCGCAAACGATACCCCACAGACTGCCACAAGATCAATCATGGGTTCACCGGAGGAAGAAGAGGACCGTGACATGGGAGGTATGTCAATTCTTTGGTCTAATGGCCCACTCCAATGGCCCGTCGGACCATTGGTCTCAACCTTGCTAATGACCCTGGTGACTCCCTAGGCTCCCAGGACGGAAGCTCCGATAACGAGAACGACAACGATATGGACGACACAATGCGCGACGTTGATGATGGCGAGGGCGACAATGAAAATGATCAAGACGGGGATGGGGATCAAGATCCCGATAGCCCCTCGAATGCGAGCCAGGCGTCGGAGGGCCCTGGCATGCAACAAAACACGAATGGCAACGGCGATAATTCCGTGTTTGAACCCTTCTCCATTTACCACCCAAGTGTGCGCCCCGAATGCCTCACAGCGCGAACATACGACGTGGTCCCAACCACCGCCGCGCCGCATGCCACCTCGATCAATGCTATTACAGCGACAGCGGATATGCGTTGGGTTTTCACCGGTGGATCTGATGGGTTCGTGCGAAAGTTCAACTGGGCGGACTCCATAAACAGCAAGCTCATGTTGACCGTGGCGCAAAGGCATCCCTTCGTGGATAGTGTGGTCAAAGCTGGAGTCTTGATGACGTACTGGGAGAACATGGATGGTAGCCACTTGTCACCGGTGTACTCTTTGGCCAGCCATAGTGAAGGATTGTGGCTACTTTCCGGTTTAGAATCCGGGGTGATTCGTCTGCAAACTCTGCGCCACGACGAGGGCAAGGAAATCGCACTTCTGCGACAACACAACTCTGCAGTGTCCACACTAAACCTCACATCAGATGAGGAATCATTGCTCTCCGGAGGTTGGGATAAACGGGTCTTTGACTGGGATCTGAATACTGGCCAAGCTAGGCGAGCTTTTGGTGGCAGCGGCGGACAAATTTCTGCCCTTCAGATTCGGCCAGAGTCCAGCCTTCCGGTCCCCAAGGACACAATCGAACCGCAGCAGACTAATGGGACGTATACATCAAACTATGCTGTTCCTAGTACGGACAACTTCAATTTTATGGATACCTCCCACGACAATGGAGACACAGGCCAGGTCGAGAACCCGCAGGCGGGCTCACCGGCAGACTCACTCTTTGGTGGCACGGACTCATTATTCGGTGACGCTGATGGTGGAGCTGCGGATGGTGGTGAGCCGTCCGGTGGAGTATTTGCGGTAGACGAGGATGACGAGTTTGGCCGTGCTGTGGCTAATGGTGCTATTCCAGATACCGACGCACCAGGAGAAGTTGACGATGAAGTATCTGCCCAACCAGATACTGGACGTGCACAAATCACGCACGAGGCATTATCACCAAAAGCAAATGCAGATGCAGATGCGCCGGCCCAAAAAATGGAAATGGACGATACGGGCATCCCGACTGGCCCTGTACAGCCGGTTGTCAATGGACTCCCGAAAGCAGAGGATCTCGAGACACCTTCATCAGCCGCAGACTTCTCAGAAAATACACAACAGCAGCAAGGTGTGACGACTGACAACACATTCCTAGCTGCCTCAATCGATGGGACAATCAGAGTTTGGGACCGCCGACAGCCTGATCCTATCGCTCGCATCACCCCCTATAATTCTCCCCCATGGTGCATGAATGCCTGTTGGTCTCCCGATGGAAACTATATCTATGCCGGACGCCGAAATGGCACTGTCGAGGAATACAGTCTTCACAAGGGGCTAAGACATGCCGAACGAACATTCAAATTCCCACAGGGGAGTGGGCCGGTGACAGCACTCAGGGCCATGCCCAATGGGCGTCATCTTGTCTGGTGAGTAAAGGACCACTAGGCAATGCATATCTGTTTTTTTAACCTTTGTTATACAGTGCCTCTCACGATATCCTTCGTCTCTATGATCTGCAAAATGAGCAAGGTGACCAGTCGTCTCGCCACCCGCCAGTTCCTTTCCTAATCATTCCTGGTCATCGGACTGGAACTATCTCTCAGCTGTATATTGACAATGCATGCCGTTACATGATCTCCACCAGTGGTAACCGGGGCTGGGAGGGAAATACTACTGAAGTGCTTCTGGGTTACGAGATTGGTGTGCCGCAATAGGGAAAGCTACGAGTGACGGAGATTCAAAGCATAATGAACCATATGTCACATAATTCACGAATATCATGACTTGAAATCTATACCTCAAGAAATTCTGACAGTTGAACTGAAACAGAGAGTAAATAATTGCAGTTATAAACCAAACCTCTGAAATTGGAACATTGAATGATTGTCATGTAAATATATTTTACATGCATGCAAATCACGAACACGAACACAAAAATAAACGCCGGTACCCTTCCATATTTACAGGGTGTACAAGACCATGTCACGTAACAAAACACAAACAGAAAAATCATTGCTCATCATGAACGATTTCGTCAAAGTCCAACCCCTCACAAACTTCAGCTTGTTGAGATCGCCAAGTTCCAAAGTAAGGATTGTGATCCCATTTGACATGTCCATCACGATCGTTGTCGAAATAGACATAGCCAGGTTGATCAGCATCTGCCAATTTTGCAGCTCTAGCAGCTCCCTGAGGCCCAACCACAAGACCACCGAAACCAGGCAATGCAACATTTGGAATATGGGTCCTTGCCTCAACATTCCCATTCTCGATGTTATTGACAGTAATTAAATAGACAGGTGGAAGATCCGCTTCACGGTTTGCACGAAGTGGCATGGGGATCCACGCCTCATTGTTATAGGACTCTGGGCGATTTTTGTCGTGGCGGAGGGGCAGGGGCCGTGCCAAGAGCATATCATCCAGCTTGCCTGTGTCTAATAGTAGACCTGGTGTTTGAACATATAGCACACTGTCATACTGCATGAACTGGATCTGGCCCAGGTGGAGCAGTTTGCTGTTTGTTGTTGAGTAGCCTGCAGCTGTGGCGGCTGACATGTCGATTGGGAGGAGCCAGATATTATATTTGGCGCTGGCGGCGCGTAAAATTGATAACGCTTTAGTGGCAGAAGGGCCCAGTTTCTTAGCTGACATTCGGTCCCATTGCTCTGGGTACACGAAGAGACGGTCCTGGACTGCTGTTCCATTTGTGGAGAGTTGTTTGAAGAAGAGGATCGCAGAACAGATATCTGATGGGTCCGGTTCAGACAGCATTTGGAGATAGGCATAGTTTCCAGATGCCCCGTAGTTAGGTTGACTCCCTATTGACGTATCTTGATCATCCCCATAACCCGTGTCTGATAGACCTCGTTTTAGTGGCTTCTGGAATGCGGGGCCCGACTTATGTCGGGCCATTTGGGCGGCTTCTTGGGGCTTTAAAGCATGCTGGATATTCTTAACAGATTGCTGCTGCAAGACATATCCAGAAAAAAATAACAGGGTGGTAAATATGCAGATCACTCCCATTGACACAATGGTCGAAACCGTGGAGGACGTTAAGAGAACCATGGCCACAAGGATGTGCGCATGGGTTGAATAGTGAAGATATGATAGGCAAAATTAGAATTTTGGACCTGCATAGCCCCCTGGATGTTCAAGATATAATAGCCTTGACTATTAATCTCTAGGCAGGTCTCATTGTTAGGCTTGTTTCATGACATCAGGTTGTTTACGTTGTCCGCGCGACTATCGATAAGCCCGGGCTTGGTCTTGGCGGTGTCATCTCGAGTGTTTTGGTCAAGCCGGTTATTTTTAGCTGAGAATTGATCACGGTCCATCTGCATGAATAATTATGTACATAATCCCTACCAGCGGTTATATATTAAATCAATGATAAAGCAATGTATGATGAGAAAGACACCTTTTTGTATAAATAGCCAACAGTGGCATAAAGGCGGTGATAAAGGCGGTATGTTCAAATCCGTATTATCGCGATGGTCTCAGAAAAAACTGCCGTAGAGCCCTTTTTCAGCTTCGATGCCTTGGCACCTCCACATCCGCCCTCACCTCCAAAATGGCAACTCATCGTGCCGATGCCAGCACATTCCTTGATAACCGCGGCTACAAGGGCCCCTTGGTCCGAGGCGTAAACCCCGCTACGCTCTTCGAGAAAGCTGTGCGCGACCGCATCACCGATTCATACTACTGGAAGGAGCAGTGCTTCGGTTTGAACGCAGCGACCCTGTGTGATCGCGCAGTGGAATTGACCTGCATTGGTGGAACATACGGTGTCTCTGAAAAGCCAACCCCATTCCTTTGTCTCGCATTCAAGCTCCTTCAGCTCGGGCCTGACCGAGACGTCATCCTCGAACTACTCAACTTCACCGACCCCGGTAGTGGCGATGAGGCAGAAAATCCAGATGATGCCCTTGTCAAGGATCGAGGCGACTTCAAATATTTGCGCGCTCTTGCGGCCTTCTACGTGCGACTCACCTTCGAACCGGTCGATGTGTACAAAACTCTGGAACCACTACTTCTCGATTACCGGAAACTGAAGCGACGGGTGCGCGACTCTTTCACACTTACATATATGGATCAGTTTGTCGATGATCTTCTCACAAAAGACCGTGTCTGTGGTACCAGTCTCTGGAAGCTGCCGCCGCGATCACAACTGGAGGACTTGGATTTGCTAGATGAGCGCGTCAGTCCTGTTGAGATAGAAGACTGATGAGTTCAGTATGATTGTCAGCATACAAAAACATAACTCCGGAGAAGGGGTAAAAGGTTACCACAAAAGACAAGGCCACGTCAGGTAATAGTGAGCTTTGTCTAAGTGGCTAGTGCTGTGCACTACTGTCCACAGGTACTTCCCCCATAATCAAACAATCATGTGCCGCCAAGCCTCGGGAAATTTTTACCCTTTTGGGTAACGCAAGGGCTTCCACTTCGGTATACTTGTTCCCAGGTCTTATCTCTTGTCTGTTTTCAGAATCAATTCATTCAAGACATTGCTTCCCGGGTTCTATCGCTATTCAACAACGGACATAGGGAGTGAGTTGACAGCTATACTATCACTTCTGAACAATGGCGAATTACACGTCCCTAGTCTGTACTGATAGGCATCATAGACTCGACCAGCCTGTTTAATTGGTCTATATACACCTTGTACCTCCTACCTTATTTACATAGGTGCAGAGGGTAGAACATATGCTAAGGACATGTGGAAAGAGTAATGATAATCATACACCGACTTTCAAACCTGTGACGTCGCCACAGCAGAAACCGGCATAGGCCACCAGCATTTCCTCTCCCAACACGGCAAATCCAATCGAACCAGACGACCAAACCAGCTTGACGCGTACATACTGTCACTCTAAATGGATGCAATCTCACCCCCGCTCCGAATAACTCTGATCTAAGTGCAACAAGATTCGAACTGTTTTGCCCGTCATTAGCCCGGAGAGTACTTAATTGCTCTGGTGTCCGTCCGTCTATGGCTTGGTACATACTTTTGCGAAGCCTACCCACTGTAACTTCGCTAATAAGCACCGTATATTAAACCACTATCTACCTCCGAATTGCCCTAACTCGTATCGATCGAGCCGCTATGGACCTCCTGTCAACACCGGAGAATCTCTGGCGAGTAGGACTCATTGTACTCGCTGCCACCGGTGTCTATGCCCTGATTAATTGGACAATTTCCAGATCTCTCTTGGGTAGTTTTACACTACGTGGCCGAAAGCATTCGACTGCCAGAACGCCACCTCGATCTTTCTCCCCGGACAAGAAAGCTACAATAGGACGGACTGCCCCATCTAGCTACGATAACGTTCTCCCGCCCCAACGCAGACACACCCTTGCAGACCTTAGATGCCCTGCTGCACCCACACGTGACGTCCACGAAGGTGAAGTGCGTCGGAATATTCTACCCATGAGCGCCGACTATATGACCAGCCCGAGCGACAAGTATACACCGATGGGATTCTCAGTGGCAGAAATCAAAGGACTTGGAGACTTCCCAGATTACGCGACTCTAAGTGGAGTTCCACTTCCCAGTCCATATCCCGAATTCAATATCGAGAAGGCACTGCCTCGGCCATATCGTCCATTCCGGTGGACGTACCACCAGACTATGTGTATGTCTCATAGGATGCGGAGCAATCACGGTTTGACACTAATGCTCTGCTCTGTCCAAAAACAGCCTTAAGCAAACTCGAAACAGACTGGTGGATCGAGCTCGAAAATACATACAAGAGCCGCATCGCCCAGCGCAAGGAACTCTACGTCAAGAATGGCAAGGAAGTCCTCGATTCCATGCCAGGTTCCGAGCTTGCATGCAAGGAGTTAATGGAGATGGTCTTGCAATTTATCTGCGCTCGATACCCGCAGTACTTCACCCTGATTGACAAGCGTGTACTGCAGAACAAGATCCTCAGTACCGAGCAGGACGTCACAGCCAAGCCCCCTCTTGAAGTCCTTCTGGATAACGTACCAGAAGATTTCGCAATTATGCTTCGTGATGACAAGAAGGGATTCTATTTCCTGCGTGCGGCGGTGATCTGCTCAGCGCTGGGGTGGAATGTTGGCTCGAAGATTGGGAAGCAGCTTCATGAGATTCACGAGCCAATTCCAGATTATAAGGAGAAGATGCAGTTCTCGATGGATCGGTATGTTGCTATTTTTTTCGGGAGATTGGATATCGAAGTTTTGACCGGAGAGTTCGGTTTAGATATTTCACGAAGATGCCTACGGAGAAACCGATACAGCGAGGATCATGGGGGCTGGAAATTGGACAGCCATTGTACATGCCACCAGGGGATCCTGAAATACTGCACCGGCTATCTCAGCGGGCTGATTTGACCATTGACGAGTGTCACCTGCGAGTGGACTGGCAGACTCTCAGGCGTTTGCCCTTGTCCGGTGCAGTTGTTTTCAATTTCAAGGCGGTTTTTACTCCAATTACGGAATTTCGTGATGAGCCTGGCGTACCTGATTTGGTGATGAAGATTGTGACCGAGGGAAAGAAGAATCTCATGGACTACAAGAGTGTTTGGCATGTGCAGCATGTTGTACTACCTAGGTTGGAGGAATGGGCAAAGGAGCAGAAGAAGAATGGGCTAGTCCCGGAAGATTGGGAAGTATCTACTTTGGATGATAGTCCGTGGTTCAAGGGTTGGCAAGAGAAGTGGCATAGACAACAGGGATTCTAGGGGGTTGATATGTGATTTTTCGCTGGTATTAATTATCTCTCTGATTGAATGTTTTGATAATTTACAAGGCGACAGCTGTAGTTTACAATGGTTCTAAATTGAGCCCATTCATTGATAAGAATCCTATCGACGGAATCCGCATTACTATTGTACAGAATTTGCCACTGTCAGAGATTGTCGTGGCCAATGGAGCCATTCTTCCCACTGGGGCCCAAGATACTGACTGATTGAATCAACCAGATAATTGCCACCATCACAGAATATCCACGAGTGTTTGTGAGTATCAACCAGAGCACCGAAATGCGCCAAGATGACCAAAGCTTCGCCTTTCCTCTGTGCTAACAGGTCAATGTATTCGCGAGAGACAAGCACCGGCCATGAAATGAGAGCATCTAAGCCGTTGGCCCCTGGTTGACTGTCCATCGCAGTGATGACGGACTGCAAGGCCTGGACAGCCTGTTGGTATGTCCTTGTAGTAGTGTCATCGTGACCAAGTCCTGTTATACGATCCAAGAGCGCCTGGCAAGCCAGACCTAGACTCGCATCCGCCGGAGGCAACCTTTCTCCGAGCTCCAAGAGTGGTTTTAATGCTGTTTGTTTCAAGAGTTTCCATCTCCCGCCTGTGACAGTGCGTACCCCATGGTGCAGTATATTGTACTGAACGAACTGATTAAGAAAGCCCTCAAAGTCATTATCTCGATACACTAGTGTCTCGCAGAGCATGTGCAGCCCCAGGATACCAGCAAATAGAAAAATTGAGACATAATTTTCATCATTTATTTGTGATGACAAGTTGTTGAAAGAGCTCAATGCATAACTCTGCAATTGAGTAGAATGGTGTCGATAGAAAGTCCGTTTTTCTGGTCTGGTGATACTGAGATGCAAAGCACTCAGAGATAGAAGCTCGTTCATGAGATATGGCGCGTTAAGGCCATACCGCCAGATGTCCTGGAATGAGGTACTAGGGATGTTTTTCTGAGAATTGAATACGTCCATGGCTTTCGAAGAGAGATTGTAAACAAGCTCGACATGAAGCATATTAACGGGGGCATCTTCAGGGCTATTGCTGGGTTCTTGAGCGAGCGAAGAGGCAATTGTCGGCGAGCCAATGGCGGGTGACGTAGTGGTAGTATCACTACCAACGCTGCTAGAGGCCCGTGCAAAGAGCACGGGCTCTAGAAACTCACAATGTCGCTGCGAACTGATACAGTTGGAACATATGGGTCGTTTCTCGTCACACTGAGCAGGGTCAGTGGCTGCAGGTGGATGGTATTAAGCAACAAACCTTCATGTGGCGACGCTTGCATTCAATGCAGCCATTTCGAGACTTTTTATGGGTTCTTCGGGCCATTTTCAGCACGCTGTGATGTAGAAAAGATACTGCTAGGGCCGGAAGTTTCGGTTCGGATACGCAAGTAGTAAATTCGAGACCCTCCCGGTTAACAGAGGTAAATATTGCAGCCTAGGCAGTCTATAGCAACCCCAATCTTAGGCCCAATATACTATGATGCGAATCCACTTGGAAATCTTTGGAGGTGAAGTTGGGAAAATGTGAGGAATACGCGTATGCACGGACCATGTCTCCACTTTGGTTAAGGTTAAAGGTCTTGGCGTTCTGCGGCTCCACCATTTTTGATATTTCCTAGTTGACCATCGGCCCTGTTCAAGGATTTACCTACGTTATATAATATTAAATAATATACGCTTATCTCATATAACCTACCAAATTTCGTAAAATCTGCTATATTTGAACTTCATCATAGCGTCCCATCACTTTCATTTCACTACTCTCAACCTTTTGAGCGACAACCGATAAAAAACTGAAACTTCATCATCTTTCCTTCTGACACTTCTTTATTTCTGCAATATGGCGCAACTCAAACCTTACAAAGGGGGCTACTATCTTTGGAAATATGTCCCCTCGCTTCCAGCAGCAATCATCTTCTTGATACTTTTCGTTGCTGCCACAGCATTCCACATTTGGAAGCTTCACCGAACAAAAGCTTGGTTCTGTCTGGCATTTGCTCTAGGTGGGCTCTGTATGTATACCTGACACACATTTTTTGAATGTTGCTGACTGGTTGTCGGATGAAGTCGAAGTCATCGGTTACGTTAGTCGAGCCGCTGCCCACAGCAGCACAGACTCGGTGACAGTCTACGCGATCCAGAACGTCTTCCTCCTCCTCGGACCAACCCTTTTTGCTGCCTCCATATACATGACACTGGGTCGAATCATCCGCAGCGTCCACGCCGAGGAACACTCCCTCATTCGAATCAACTGGCTCACCAAGGTATTCGTGATCGGCGATGTCGTATCGTTTGTTGTGCAAGGAGGTGCATCAGGCCTAATGGCCACGGGCAATAATGTGAAGCTGGCATCGAATATTGTGGTCGCTGGCCTCGTTGTCCAGGTCATCATGTTTGGTCTGTTCATTATCACATCAGTTGTCTTCGAGGTTCGCATGCGTCGATCACCTCCTACCTCAGCCTTTGATGAGCGGATTGACTGGATGAGTCTATTGCGCACGCTCTATGCTGTCAGTGCCCTTATCTTGATTCGGAGCATTTTCCGCGTTGTGGAATATGCAGCTGGCAATGACGGATATCCACTGACCCATGAGTGGATGCTATACTTGTTTGACTCTGTGCTGATGAGCATATCTATGGTCATCTGGGGTATTTGGTATCCTGGAACACTTCCGGGACTCATAGTCCCGGGCCAGAATACAGCCACAGAAGTAGTGGCCAGTCTAGAGCTGAAGGAGCGTTAGCTGAATAGATACAGATGGATTGAACCAAGAACTTACATAGTATGTTCTTGCTATATTGCTACCCTAGTTTCCAGGACGAAGAACATTGTTAAGGGAGAAGGTACCTTGGTCTTTAAGAGTGATAGGGTCAGGGCTTGAGTTATAGCTACATATTGCTTCTCTGAATAATGAACATGTCAGTCCACGGGTTGTTGATTGTATATTTAAATCGTAGTAATGAATGGGAATGTAGTCAAAAGGTTTATTAGATGTAACATCATCTTACATACTGTACGTGATCTTGATTTATCCCCACATTTAGTGTCCGAGTGGCTGACTTGGTAGATAGCTTTCCTCTCTTTCTCCTTCATTATCTGCACTCTTGGATATATATTCGGGAGGTATAACCAATATAGACTGCCTCTAATCAATTTACATAGATGTAAAGTCAACTTAAACCTGTCTTCCATACACATCACCACACTAGCACTCAAGCCCTGGTAGACTCAACCTCGACATGGTCAACATCAATTTGCTTCTCATTCTTGAGATCCTCCAATACCTCAACGCCAGCAAGACCAAGGCTCTCGTTAATCCGCATCATGCGCAGGCGATCAGCTTCAGCAATGCTATGCGAATCACTACCGAAGAAGACATCCAATTCCTCAAGTGTCTTGTCCTTAGTCTCCGGGGCGAACTTCCAAATGAACAGACCACCCAAAGCACTGAAAATGGCGAAGAAGATATAGGTGCCATATTTCATTGTGTCCAGCATGTCCTTGGTGGTAAGACCAATAATGAAGTTGAACATCCAGTTGGTGGAAGCGACGATTGAGACACCGCGGGAGCGCTGACTGTTGGGAAAGATTTCCTGGGCCAATACCCAAGCGACGGGTCCTGTGCAACAGAGAGTTAGCAAGGAAACATGTAAGCTAGTGTTGTGGTAACATACCCCAAGAGTAAGCAAAGTTGACAGCAAAGAGCCAGATGAAAGCAATGGCAACCCAGCCTTGCGCTGTGGCAAGTCCCTCATTCAAGTCCCACTTAGGCTCATATATACCCTCCACGATGGCGACAACAATATGGCAAATAAACATGCCGGTAGCACCGGCAATGAGGAAGGTCTTACGGCCAAACTTGTCGAGGTAAAGGACAGTGGGTAAGGTGAACAGAATTTGCAGAATACCTGTCACACCAGTGGCGAGAAGGGTTGTCTTCGTGGATGAGAAACCGAACTAGGGAAAGAAAAAGAGTTAGTAGCCATTTCTCGGAGCAAGATTGAAGGGTGTTTCAGAAGGAAATAGTTACTCACTGATGAGAAAATCTGGGGCGCATAGTAGAGCACAGCGTTGATACCAGTGAACTGCTGGAAGATCATCATACCGCAACCCAGCGTCAGGCGCTTGAACATGTTGGGGGCAAACAGAGCTTTCCAGGGAGCCATGACACCTCCAGCTCCGACAACCTCACTCTCGGTCTCTTCATCGAACATGACAGCAGCCTTGATCTCAAGGTACTCCGCGCGAACAAGTGGATCACTCACAGGCAGACGACGAAGCTTAGAGATGGACTCTTTAGCCTCCTCATCACGGTGCTTCATCATCAACCAACGCGGCGAGAAGGGGAAGAAGAAGAGACCGAAGAATAGAATCCAAGCGGGGATGATCTGCAAAGCCAAAGGAAGTCTCCACGAGATGGTCTTCTGACCTAAACAGGTGTGACCGTTATTCTGAACGGCATTGTATGTGCCATCTTTCAGATAAGGGTTCAAAATACCCTCCGGGTTGCAGGTGTTGCCACCGACAAACTGCATACCATAGTCAAGCCAGAAAGAAATGGCGGTGCCGATAGTGATGGACAGCTGTTGCAGAGAAACAAGCGATCCACGCAGCTCAGGGGGAGCAATTTCGGCTTGGTATAGTGGGATAACCATACTAAACATACCGATTCCCACACCACCGATGATCCTGCCGGCGAAGAAGTACGCAGGAGTCTGTGCACCAGCCTGCAGGCCAGTACCCAGGGTGAAGATGACGACGGCAACCATCATGGCATACTTACGTGAGATACGATCTGCGAGAACACCGTTGATCAAAGCACCAGCCCAAGCACCAAGCTCAAGGGCCGACACCAGCCAGCCCTGGATCGTGGATCCCATAAACGTGGGGAAGTGGTTTTGGAAGTTCTCCATGACGAGAACAGGACCCATCACACCCTGATCGTATCCATACATGATACATCCCAGCGAGGCAAACAGACAAGTAAAGAAGACATATGGATTTGAAATAAATCCTTTGAGACCGTGAGGCTTCTCTGCATTGGCACGGCCAACCACAGATTGACTGATTGCCATCTTTATGACACAGCTCAAGCACAAGAGTGAATAGAGAAAGGAATGCCAATTAAAGAAGAAAATAGGGCTAACCAGGCGGATTATATAGTGCTAGCTTCATTTCCAGCTTCGAATTTTTTTATTTTTCACTCTTATTCCGGGGTTAAATCCCACAGAGCCCATTCCCCAGGATTACCGACAAAACGCGCAGCCCGAGCCAAAGACTCCATATGGGGCCCCTTGATCCTTCGATGCCATATGCCGCTTCAAGAAACCAGCAGCACGCTAGGACCAAATTTCACAACTAAGCTAGACCAATCTCCGGAAATGACATGATCCGACATATGAGAATGCATATAAAATTGCCCAACGCTAAGGTGCGCCACAAATCAAAAGAAGCATCAAGCCAGCAGGCTCGGCATTAACTGGGCACCTTAGTTCCGAAATTCTCAGAGAACAAGCCTCGAGGTCCGAGAGCTCCATGGCTTGGCGACATGGGATTATGATTCGTTATCTGAGTACCAGCATGGATCATTGCTTAACATTGGTGTCCTACTACTGCATGGGGCAATATTTAGTGCTTACCGCGCTGACTGTTTGGATACAGTTAGATACAACATGACCCCTGCAAATCCGATAATTGACCGATGCAATTGTAATTGTTTTCTTGACTGGTCTAGCATGTTCCGAAGATGGGGTCGAAAGCCAGGTGTGGATACATAATGAGCACGAAGATGCCAACAGAGATACAGGGGCCGGTCAATATTCGGATTTGCTTCAACATGAACAAGAATAGTCGGCCGCGTATGCGTTCTTGTCAGGCCCCTTTTGTGGTCTTTTTACGGAGTAGTGGTATTTCGATTCGTGAGCCCTAGTTTACAATTGGGAATACTTTGCTTCAGATACTACAACAGTAACATTCTAGGGCATAATATGCATGCCACAAGGTGCTGTCTCGCCATGTATTTCCGCGGACTGGCTGACCTTCGGCTTCTAGTCCCGGGCTGCTAAAGGGGAAAACAAGAGAATGCTGCCATCGCTAATTTCGGGTTAGCAGACTCCATTTCGGCATTTGCTTGGCTCGGGATTGGCCAGCTTCGGGGAATCGAGCGGACGCGTGGTCTTCCCATGGGGGTTTCACTTTGTCAATTCCAGTTCGGCGAGCAGATTCCGGGAAATTTGAGGCATGTGCACTTACAACATATGCCACTCTTGCTTTGTGACTCATAAGCTGGTGTCTCTTTGGGTTTCTCTCACAGTCCCGCAAATACCCAACGCCGGGGCCCCATGGGGTCTCACCTATCAAGTGTTGCCGGCTTTGAATTCTCCCTGACTCGGGTCAACCCGAAATTGCTTAGGAATGATACCTACACACCTTCAATTTCTTAAATTTAACATTGTTTATTCTTCGTTTTTTTCCTTTGGTCTATTATATGAAAGTCACCCGCTTATGTGGTTACTTTTTTGGACAATGACTGCTTCACATGATAGATATATTCTCAGAGCTCAATACCACAAAGAAATCCCACTGCACCTTGGAAGGACTTCTTCAATCGTAATCTGAAGACAAGGGTCTGTCTTTGTTGCCCCAATCCACCAGCGCACTGTGGTGATAATGAAGAAGACTACTGTCTGCACCCTTGAAAGAACAGAGAGCCTACCAATCCCCAGATCCAAATTAAGAATCAAATTTTTATAATGACCCTTGTTATTTCAAGTAATTCATGAATTTCTAATCTAAGCTACAGGGGATAAAGATCCATTAATTTGAATGTCCATTATACATAGATGTCATGGTCTAAGACAAAGCCCACATTCCCTTGAGCTCTTTGTCAAAAACAGTCTCCAAGTCTCGATACCAGATCCCCAAAGCTATATAAAACCCCACTTCCACTAAGTAGATGGCCATCAACCTCTCCAATCTTCTAGATCTAGTTCTAGCACTCAAGTATAACCTACAAACCAACTACCCTCATCTCCAGCAATGTCAGCTAACTATAACTGGCAGGCAATCCACCCAGTCTACGGCGTCCCCCTCGCCGTAATCCAAGCCACAAAACAACCCCGAATCCACTGCGACGTCCGCCAAAAACACAACCTCCCATCTAGATCCTGGGCCGTCCGTATTTCCACCTGGATCAACACCAACTATTTCCTATGGTGTTTATGCGCCGGTCTCGCCGACTATCGCTCCGACGAGAAATGGACAAATACCTTCAACACTCACCACCGCAAAACCTGGGTTGAGATTCAGGCTAGAGTTCAGGAGGTCGAGGGGCCTTATAGGTTCGGTATACCTATCCCGATGCCGCCGGTCATGAAGGCGGTCGTTGTTCATCATCCCGAGAGTGGGCCTGCGGAGACGTTTACGGTTCGTCCTGAGGCGAGGCCGACGCATCTTATCCCGAATATTACCGGTGTGTCGAGGGATGCTGTGTGGGGACTTTTGCGGTTTGTGACGGAGCGGCAGGCTGAGGTGCCTGATTTGTTTGATGTAGTGCTTCATATGGCGCCGCCGGGGCTGGAGCGGTCTGTAGATAAGATTGAGCGTAGTGTGGTGAGGGAGGATGTATCTGAGGACGAATGGGAGGATGATGTGGTAGATACGTACTACCGGTTTGGGAAATGAGGTGAGTGGTGTGTTGTTTCTCTCTACTTCTTATAGACACGAATCGCATCGATCTAGAGACATGAATGAATATATATAACAGGATCAAATGGTCAGTGAATATTTCCCAAGCCTAGTGGAGTTTCATTGTATCGGTCAGTCTAACAGCGCAGGGGACGTATCCCCTCAGATCGAAGCCACAGCAAATGTGCGAACAATTAAGGCGGGGGGCAACAGAAGAGGCTGAGTAGTACATGACAAAGATAAAACAAGCAAAGCTAATAAGCATATTGGAGCAAATAAGAGCAAGATAAAGACGAAGGCAAACAAAGCGATGAGCCCAGAGGCTGACGATGTCAGACGCACCGTATGACGGCGATGTATGTATATCAGGTCATGTCAGCATTGGCTAGCATCGTCGATGTGGCGGGTATGTATGCAGGATAATGTATGTGTTGCTCGTGAAGGCGTCTCAAGTGGCCGAGGATTAACCATAGTTTTCAATTCAGGTCTCGGGCTCTTATTTTCTGTATCCTTCTAATGTGTTCTGACTGGCCAATGCCAGAGCGGTTTCTTGGCGGTAGTGTAGAGGCCGCCTGGCTTCATGTGCTGCTGTTTCGCGTATTCTTCATAGCCGCACCCATAAGAAAGAAGGGAAGATGGAGAAAATCGAGCGACAAGTGGGTATCATAATGGGGCTGTTTTCGAATGACGCAAGATTAATGGAGGTCGAAAGGCGCCAAACGAGGGAGAAAGAAAAGGTGGGCGAGGAAAATTGCCATTCCAAATTTAGTCGGGGTTGGTGAGCTAGAAATCACGCGATTAGCAAGAGTGTTTCGCCAGTATCCACAGTGCAATGTTCAACTCACCCGAAGGACAGGACGCGAGTAGTCCTCGTTGTCTTGTAGCGAAACACTGCTGTCTCGAGCACCGTGCGGGTAGAGAGGCGTGTTGGTCTTCATTCGCCGATCAGTGAATGTTGTGGCGGAACGTGCGGGAACAGGTCCACCAGCGCCGCCTTCTCCGTTGCCCCGTGGGAAGAGGCCTCCCATGAAGCTCGATCCTCTGCTGGTTCTGTCGTCTGCCATCTCCTGGCTTGGGATAGGGCTGACGGCACGAGCGCGTTTGCGGTAGAAGAAGATCATGAAGATGAGAGCACCGACCAGGGCAAGTCCTCCAAGAACACCAATCACAATGCCTGCGATGGAACCTCCGCTCAAGTTGGAGCTGCCGGTAGTGCTGGCATTAGCCGATGCGGAATCAGCACTAGAGCCACCAGTCGGACTTGAACCAGGAACAGTGATGGTCTTGACTTGGCCGCCAGAGTTGGTCTCCACTGAGAGAGTAGCCGATGTAGTGGTTGTTTTATCATCCGACGAAGTTGCCTAGGATCACAAGTTAGCCGAGTGTGCCATTCAATCAAACCGGTCATACTGAAGATACAGTTTGTGAAGCCGAGATGGAAGAATCCGTGGAAGAATCCGTGGAAGAATCCGTGGCAGTCACAGTGACAGTTTCATGTTGAACGATAGTACTTTCCTATCTCCTATATTAGAGCCACAAGCCAAGAAAGAGTAGAACACCCAATCATGCTACATAGGCTGGTAGGAGGTTTATCGGTCCAAAGAAAAGAAAAGAGAAATCCAAAAACCAGCAATCCAAAAAAACAAAGAAGTAAGGGTTGCTTACCGAGGTTGAGCTTGTAGTTGTGCTTGACTCTGATGAAGTGGTCGAGGTTGATGACCCACCGGCCGTACTAGTTATATCGTTGCCGGCGATTCTCACATAGGCGTAGACTCCTTTGGATGCACTTCCACAACTGTCTGCGGGATAACCTGGGCACGAAGTATCACACTCGGAGGTTTCGGATCGTGCCCCTTTGGAGGGAGCAACATTCGAGCACCAGCATTTCTTCCCTTGTATGATAGCTAGGGCGTAACTGGCGCAAGTTTTCAGGCATAATCCATTCGATTGAAATGTGTCGGCAACTGTGAAGAGTTAGCGATACAGCTAACTTGATAAAAATTTTGCGAATCACATACCTGCTTTGAAGGAAGACCCCGTGTTGTCTGAAGCACAGTATGTGAGGTCAGATGCTGCCGACGCGAATGGAGCCAGGAGAGCAGCAACCGAGACCACCACGGCGACCTTCATGGTGGGTGTACTCGATGAATTTCGTATCAACCCGGATGGCCCGATCTTGTCTTGATATTTGTGGGTGTATTTTCCTCCGGGATCCGGTCAAGTGTGGATGGTAGCGGTAAAAGTTCGCAGGCACAGATTGAAGATCGAAATTGGCTGTGGCTGTGTGTGGGCCGACCGATGTGAATTGTCGATCCCCCTACCAGACTCTGACTGTGTTTGGACGAAGAATCGAATATCTGGCAAGTCGATCGAACGGGCCCCAATTGTTGTTGATCCCCCCACTAAACACTGAAAACGATCGTATGTTGTCTCAAAGACGCATTGTCTCTTGGAAGTCTCCGAGGGCTAGGCAACAAAATAACAAGAAAAGAAAGAAAACGAAATGGAAAGAAAGAAGCTGAGAATAGAGAGAGAGAGACAGAGAGAGAGAGCAAGAGAGAAGAGGAGAAGGGGGATCTCCACAGTCACGGGCTATAATCTACACTATCCTCATCGGAGTATGTTCAACCTCTCCCGACATACCCGGTGGAGACTGATTTTCCATACTATTTTTATGTAGGATTTACGATTATTAAAGATGATTACTTTTTTTTTATCTCTTTGAAAGAACAATAAAGCGCCATCTATGTATATGTACTCATATAATCGAAGGTATAGGTATATATATACATAGGTAACAATATTTTATTGACCTTTTTCCTAAACCTCTTTTCTTCTCCACTACCAAATATTACTGTACCAAGGAAACATTCCACCCTTCATACCTCTTTTTTTCTTTTTCGATCTACGGAGTACTTCAAAGACCTTTATATCCGAAACAAAAGGATCGCCCGTGCATTATGACTAGGGCGTAATTAGGAGACATAATTAGAATATATTCTGTCTTTGCCTATTATTAGAGAATTTTAAGTATAAAAGCTCTTTATGAATCCTTCCGATCAACTTAGCAACGTAGACTAACCTTATTAGTACGGAGTAGCCTTCCTTATTCACGCTAAATGACCACCTGTCAACTTATGAAATTACTACGGAGTACGGAGGACACGGGCAGGTAACACATAAAAAACTCTTATCACCCCAGAAATTGTACACCGAATGCTCGCTTCCGCGCCCCATGCCCAGCCGGAAACGATCGAGAGATCGCTGTGATTTGCCGGATCTAAGCGAGTTATGATGAAACAGGATTTACTTGCTATTAATGCCTATACTCCATTTGTTTCCTCTCTATGGTGGCTTCAACGGATTCAACTAACCTGGGCATGTTAATCCGGTCTGGTGCAACATGTCAACCCAGCCCGTACAACATACAACAGACAATATACACCCCTTTTTCTTCGAAATACATCGACTCATCCAAATGTGAGATCATCTTCCAAGTGGAGAATCTCCACTCGATAAAACGTAAAAACGTAAAATTGATACAATCTGAAAATTTCAAGTTAACAATTATCGAACAGGTTTAAGGATTCCTCATATCCTGTTACACCAGTTGACAATAGTTCAATTGGATTTGAAACATGACATTTCCCAAAGGTTGCATGCTCAAGTTGATAATATAGTCCTTCTATTCATTTTATAATATAAACGCGCTTACCGAAGGACAATACCAAGATTCTAGATGATGCGTTGTGGCTGAGACAAACCCGCCACAAAAGCCACAAAGGGGAAGCCCACGTAATCTTCCGGTCTGGGAGTTCCAGATCACTCGATCGGGCTTCTTGGTTTTGTATTCATGGCGAAATCACAAAATTATTGTAATTGTGCCTGGTGGCTTGCAGGTGGCGTGCTGACTCTGAAACAAGCCTACTCTTTACAGCGACGATCGCCTGCAGCCTGCATGAGGCATCCGCGAACCATATGTCGAGGTTGAAAGTTTACATTTCCGTTCCAACGGTGGTCTACGAAGTCTGTGATCATTCGACATTAATGAACATACTCATATTCAATGGGTGTTCCCCAATACATTTGGGAGAAAAGAATAAAAGGAAATCAGCTGGTCTGTGTACATGAAATGTGTGGGACCTGCACGCGTCATTTAACTGTCACCTCAGTATTTGAGGACTTAGATCTCCACCGATCACATCACCTCAATATGAATCTGAATCTGAACTCTCTTAACTCTCTGAGCTGCTCGACCCTGGCAGAGGGCCAATCATCAATTCGTTGATGTCCTCCACGAAGTCGCTCTCAGGGGAATCGTCATCGGCATTGGGATCGGCATCGGATGAAGAAGATTTAACCCAAGCCAGAATGTCCCCCAAATCTTCCGAATTGGGGGGCTGGTTGGATTGGGTATTCTGGGGTGATTGAGTAGCCTGGCTTGATCGGGTAGCCACTGATGTGTTATCGTCATCATCGTCGTCGTCGTAGAGAGTGATCGCAGCGGACAAGGCGATCAGTCGACTGAATTGCCATTGCATGTCCAGCAAGTCGAAATTCGGGAGTGGTCGCTTGATGGGGTCGTCAGTTGTCATTCTGAAGCGGTGGCCGGACTCAATCTCGCGATAAGATCGTTCACCTCGAACGCCTACAGTCAAGACGAGGTTGTCCACTTTTCTGACCCACTTGCTAGACTTAGGAAGCTTTTCCAGATCAACCACATCGTGTAGCCCGTGGTCAGGCTTTGGCTGCCAGAAAAACTCAATTTCAATTTCGGTCATATCGTCGGAAATCCAGGCGGGGCGAAGGGCAAACAAACCAGATGTCCATGCAGATCGAATGTCTCTCCGAAGGCAGATCACATTGGAGCAATCATTGACAGGGCTGTCGGGCTGGATTGGGTTATTGAACACAGCTCTTCTCCATCTCTGAGTGGTGCTCTGTCCCCAGAACATATCAGTAAACCTCCAAATGGTCGGAGAAAGCGGGTCATCCTGCAAGCGGGAGGTGGTCAAGCCAGACGGAAAGATTGGAACGGCTAGGAACATCTTGCGGGTGCCTGTGATGACACATCTGTGTCCATCTCGTTCTCTGGCGTCCCAAATCGCAGTTCGGGAAGCATGTTTCGGCTGACTCCAAGCAGGAGGGGGATCATTCGGCATTGGGAATGCTGCATCTCTTTGAGCGGGGGATGGTTTCACCGTCCATTTAAATGGAAGACCACAACTGAGGTCAGCCAAGATGTCCATGATTTGCAGTGAAAGGTGGGCCATTTGTACAATGTTCTCAAGCTTGTCGAGGTCACACAACTGGACAATGGCCCAGAATGGGGCAGGGACTTCTTGCCCTTGTAGGGCATCCTTGAGCTGGCGAATGAGGTTTCTTCGCTGGGGGGATGGTATGTTGAAGTTCTCGTCATTTACACGAACCACAGTACGTGAGCGGCTGTGTGAGCCTGACGGAATGGTACCTGGAGATGCGTTTGACATATTGGTCACGTGGTGGGATGAAAGACGGTGAATGTGATTTCTATCCGATGTGAGCACGTGAAGTGGACGTGATAACGAGAGAAGAGCGTTTGTTTTGGTCTCAGCGAATTTAAAGTCCTAGAAAACGCGGGCTGCGTCCACATTTTGGGAAGGAGCCCGTGGAGTTCATTCAAGCATATCACGATACATACAAAACGTCGGCAGTACCTTCCCACAAAATCATAAAGTCATCATAGGTCATAAACCTCACTGCAGGTAACTTTACCTCCTAGAGTCTATCCATTCTCGATCTCGAATATCTCGCATGCGTTTCTCTATTACCCGTGCCCGTGGAGGCATTCCCATACGAGGTATCATATGGGGTGTGATATCAGGCACAGACGACCGCTCCCGTTGAATATCACGAATGCGTCTACGGCGAGCACTCCGAATCTCGTCGGACAATTCAACAAGCTCATCTATGTCCTCCTGTGGGGAAAACGAGTTAGTACCCAAGCAACCACTCTTTTCCGATGATACATACTGGTTGGAGGAACGAGAAGATATAGTACGACGTCCTCGTCTCTTCATACTCGAATCCCATGCGTTCAATGGCTTCCCTCACTATCAGTTTCTTGGTTATCTCGGTCCATCGATCATTTCGCGTCTCCTCTGGTTCTGTGACATGCTGAGCAACTCTTCCCACTTCAACTTCGTCCACCGACGCCTGTCGGGGTTTGACCTCAACAACGTCTAGAGCTCCAGTCATCTCAATGGCTTCCTCCTGGGATGGAGCATGCACCACAGACCATTCGTCTGTGCCTCTAGGGGCCTTTTCCATTGTTCGTGTGCTCTCGATCACTATCTCTTCTTCCATGTCACGCATGGAAGGTGCATCCCTTCGGCTGTAAGCTGACTCGCTCTCATCTTCTAGTGGCTTGGGTCGACGACGAGTTGTGTATGCTGATGCTCGCTCCCATGGATCTTTGAAATCAAGACTTGGGCCGCTAGTCGGCGATATCGAATCTTCCGGAGCAAGAGACTCTTCACTATCACGGTGTTTGAGCACTATTTTTTCCTCTGACACTTGTCCTCCTCGCATTTTTCTAAACCAGATGTCAGCATACGGCAAAGAAGAGGATTGATCTACTCACCGATGGTGAATATCAATCTCATCAAAACTACCCCTTCGAGACCGCGGTTCTGGACTGCGGACACGAGGTGTACGAGCATCTTTATAGCCTGCGCTTGGTTAGAAGGATGGTCTTGCTGAATTATGAACATCATTCTCACCGTGGTCAATGTGCCTATGGTGGGTAAACACGTCCTGATGGATTGGGGGCACATGTATCGAATCCAAAGAAGGCGAAGGCTTGCGAGATGGGACCTTATCCTTTGTTTTCCGAATACTGATCTCTTCCTCAACCTCTTCAAGGTCTCGGGAGCGTGACTTGGAGTCAACCTGCGCACGCATACTAAGCTCTTCATCAAGTGGAACTTGTTCCTTAACTCCTCGCCGAAGACCCCTTAATTCACGTTCGAGATCCTCCGAAGGTACACTTCGTCGTTTTTCACGCCGTTCGCGTGTAACGATTTCCTCATCAACGCGGTCAACCTGTCGTGGCCCTTTGTCCTTCCGCCGGATGATCACATCATCGTCTTCTGATTCTTGATTTGAAAAATCGACTGGGCCGCGGCGTCGCTCTTTGGGCCCATCGTGCACGAGGACCTCTTCCACCTCGACCCTTTGGGGAGGCGGAGACTGTTCTCGTCCCCGTCCCCGTCCCCGTCCCCGTGGTCGGTGATATGTTTCCTCTTCCTCAAACTCCAATCTCCTTTCACGCGATCGAATGTCGAGTTCGCTGTCCCATCCGCGACGTAAAGGAGGCTCTTCCCATTCTTTGTGTCGAATTTTCATATCCTCTTTCTCGAATTCGCGCTCTGGGTGGTGTCTTCTTCCTCCAGATTTTACTCGTCCCTCAACGAAGAGCTCCTCTTCAAACTCCCTTTCTGGGCGTCGCCTACGGTGGCGTTTTTCTCTCTCTTCGGAGAGAAGATCATCTTCCGACCTTCGTTCTGGGTGACGTCTGCTCCCTCTGTGCATTTCTCTATCTTCAATGATCATACCATCCTCTTCAAATTCCCGGCGATGGCGTCTACTTTCTCGAGTCCCCCGTCCGACAACAAGTTCCTCACTCTCCTCAAATTCTTGCTCTGAGCGACGCCTCCTACCACTATTTCTCTCCCTTAGTTGTTCCTCAAACGTAAGATCCTCTTCGGGTACTCGCTCTCGTCGATGTCTTCTGTCTCGACGCCTTTCTTCGTCAGTGAAAAGATCCTCTTCGACTTCTCGCTCTCGGTCAGGACGATGTCTCCTATCTCCACGCCTTTCTGTCTCCTCGAAAATCAAATCCTCGTCAACATCTCGGGGATGACGTCGACTACCCCGACGTCTCTCTCGCTCCTCAAGAACAAAATCTTCCTCGTCTACTTCACGGGGACGAGGTCTGCGCCGGGGCCCAGGCGGCCGCATGTAGACATCATCACGGTCTAGAGGCACAGATCGCTCAGGCGAGACCATATCTACCTCCTCCCTTTCTCGCATGACAGCCACATTATCCCGTGCTCGCGGTGGAGCAAAGCTCTCTTCCATGAAGTCTCGCCTAGGACGTTCTCGGATATGCATACGCTCCATATCCTCAAGTAGAGGCTCGGACCTTCGGGGACGATATTCATCTTCCTCATAGCCGCGATCTCGTCGGCGCGGCCTATAATGTCGCTCGCGCTCGCGTTCCATTTCATAGAACTCATCTTGCTCGTCGTAGTCGCGGGGTGGTGCTCGGCGGGACATTGTGGGTATGTGCGACTGACCACCACATCGGATTTGGTGATCGATCGGCCGTGCCTACGGTCGGAATTATCTCGACCGCTATCAGATGACTCTTAGATTCGCTTTGGTTCAAGAGCCTGTCAAGGGGCTCAGTTCAAGGTAACAGTCAAACTTGATAGTCCTTGACTTGGTGGGGCTTGCGAAAAAGGTGGGCTGTGCTCTAGTCAAAATCACCCAGTTGGGCACCTAATGATAGTACAACCAGTAAGATAAATTTGGTAGATCGTGGATCCACAGAAGACTGGCCCTACAGCTTGAATATATGGAAATGGAAGTGTAACTTGGAACGAAAAACAAGCAAGTGATCGACCCCGCGGCTGATGTCACTGGGTTCTCTTAGAGGTCTAGCGGATGAACCCCTATTCAACAGGATTTTGTTTGTTTACTCCCCAGGCCCAAGTTTTGGAGTTCTTGTAGTTCTCTAGGTAGGGCTACCCCAGAATCTTAGCTAATCCCACCACAGCACTTAACCGTGGTTCTCTTCTCGAGAACCGTCCGGTCGTTCTGGTGTGATTGTCACGGGACCTTGGGATACGGACAGAACTGGCAGAAATTGCCAGTCTAGGTCTTGAACCTCCTACCTATCTTTGTACTTCACTATTGAATATTATCCAACTCCTGATTACTATTACTAGTTATTCTACCTAGATCCCTAAGTAGTTGGGCCCTTAAACTAGGTTACAAACTATACAAATATGCTAGTTATGTAACTATATAACTTAGCGTATTTAACTGGTTTATGACTGCTAAGAGTCTAAGACCACTATTTACGTAGAAACTAGGTCAAACTGGGCCCAAACCGTCAGTCACTGGGCCTTTATGAGCTTTCGACCCAGAATGGGTTCTGCAGAAGCCAAGGGATATGACTACTAAGCTCTATAGCCGATTGGGCCCACTATCAACAAGAGCTGAAAACTAACTTTTATTTCCACTAGCAACCAAAGGGCTAAATGTGATCAATAAAAAGCGGTCTGTGCCTCATAAGAAATCGCTACTGAGCTGTTAGAGTCCCCTCTACCCACCCTTGCTAGAACACTAAAAATGCAGATTCAGCTACAACAAGGGTTTCCAAATGATCCCATTTTCAACCAGCTTCGCAGGTTAGCTAAGCAGTCGCCGGACGTGTTATTTCACGATGAATATGGCGTCGATGCAAGATATAGCGACCTGATCCATGATGTTATCCACCTGCGGGAGATCCTGCGAGAGCATCTCCCGAGTGCTTCATTCGACGAGCAGGGTTGTCTGCGAGAGGATGCCAAGTCAATTGCGTTTCTGGCCTATAGTGGATATAGTTTTATTATCAGCTTCTTTGCCATTGCGGCTTTGGGGGGTATATGTGTACCTCTATGTAAGTCTTTGTCTGTCGGGATAGTCCGATGATATGGTACTAAACTACGATAGCAACGGGGCTGAATCCGGACGAGGCGCTTTACTTTTTGAAAAAGGTCAAGGCAGTCTATATCTTGACTGAGAAGAGAACGGTCGACATGGCTATGACATTTACAGAACATGCTCGAAACGAGGGCCAAAGGGTGACTTTGATCCCAATCACAAGAGCGAATCCCGCGATAGCGACCATCCCCAGCTCGACAGAACTCGAGATCAACCAGGAGTCGACCTTTCCAGAAACTGCAGGCTGTCTGATTCTATTTACGTCCGGCACAACTGGGCCCCCGAAGGGTGTTGTTCTCCCCCGGAAGATGTTCCATTTTGGAGAAGGTATAACACCCGCAACGCTCTATCTCGCATCCTGTCCCCCGCACTGGGTAGGCGGAACGGGACTGATCGACAGTGTGCTTATCGGTGAAAACCTACATATGCTGAAGAGTGAAGCCCCTCCTGCCCGGTTCTGGGAATTGCTGAGGGAAGGAAGAGTCACGGAAATGGCCATCTCCCCGACATTGCTGAGGCGTTTGATGGAGTACTACCAGGAAAATATCTGTCACCTTGCGGCTCAAAAGCGCAATGAATATATCGACGGGGCGAAGAAGCTGGAGCGGGTGATTGTGAGCGGTTCGATGCTGAATCCGTCCACTTGGCGCTTCTTTGCTGCTTTGACCGGTATGCCCATTATCAACGGTTACGGGATTACAGAGATGGGCGGGGGTGTCATTATCAACCCCCCTGGTTCGGTCTATGAGCAGGTGTGTGCATGGCATTCTTTCCATCTCTAATATCTCCTAACATAATCAGGGCTATATCGGTAAAGTCATCCCGGGCATAACAGTCAAGCTGTCCCACGGTGACCACGGGGAAATCCTCGTCAAAAGCCCAATCAGATTCTCCCAGTAAGACCATCTTCCATCTTCTAGTCGTCTACTTACACAGACAGTTACATTGGCGATGAAGCAGCCACTCGCGCCGCCTTTGACGAGGAGGGATTCTACAAAACAGGCGATCAAGCCCACCGTGTTGGTGATGATTACTATTTTGACGGAAGGATTTCATCCGACTGTACGGTATTCCTATATCCCTTATGTCCCCATCAGAGTTTAACCAACCAGACAGTCGTTCGCTTCCACGAATACACGATATCCATACCCGAGCTAGAGCGACAACTCCTGGAACTCCCATATATCACCGAAGCGCACGTCCTTCCAGTCAAAGACCACGGAGCTGGGGGGTTAGTAGCCGCTCTTGTGAGACTTCGAAAGCAAGAGGGTGACAGCATTACCCTGAAGCGGATACGCAACGATCTCGCTGCGATGAACCTAGCTTCGTACAAGTTGCCTACCCTCTTGCGGATTCTCCGGAACGAGGAACAAGTCCCGTTGACGCCGTCCGAGAAGGTGTTGAAGAGGGAGTGCCTCCGGGAATTTTTCCACATCTCCGAGTACATACCGGATCCATATGCCGTGGAAGGAGTCGAGTACTGTGGGAATCAGCTTGATCTGGCTGCTTCATCGCGCGTGTTTGACTGGGGAGGTTTATAAGCGTTCGGACTTATCTCAACCAGTCTTTACTAGTTCTTCTTAGTCCCTTGTACTAAACTCCGCGCTCATTGGCTGTTGAGAATCTTGAATTCGGATGCGGTCTGTGATGGTTGGTATCGAGGTTCTTAAGAGTCGCATATCGAACCCTTTGTTGAACAGTTTGAGCCTACTGTGCATTGCTTGCTACTTATGCTCGGTCCCGGGGGATTTACTACATACCTCCTAGTGCACACCATTGGATGCACTTCTAAGCACTCAAGAATCTAGAATGATGTCAAGCTACCTCCTCAAGTGTGTTTTATATACTTTGGCAAAGAGTAACAACTGCAAAAATATGAAACAGTTGATATTAATTTGCTTAATTAGGCAATAGTTTGATGCTGTTCAAGGTACTGGGTATATTGTACATGTACTAAGTCATGTGAAAGCAGATTGTAAAAGTACACAAGAGAATGTAACATTAGTGGTCATAGCTCACTAGAAAGCAAGTCGCATCTGCCCCTTCTCGGGCTTACCCCGACTCCCTCCCCCTCGACTACCTCTCCCACGAGTATTCATACCGCGTGTACTGTTTTTGGTAGGCGGCGGCAGCTGTGAGACCTTCGCCTCCTCTCTGTCCTGGCTTGCGAGGTCCTTGGCAAAGTGCCAATCATCATGTTCTTCCTTTTCATACTCGAACATCGACTTAGAGCACCTTGGACATACGAACCGAGGGATTCCGCTCAGTTCGGCATCCATTTCAACCGGTTCTTGAGCGCTGTTTGGCTCATCTGTGGCAGTATCTTCAAGATGTGATGGGTTGCCGAAGAATCTTTTTATCTTACCCCCATCTCCGTCAAGCTTTCGTCGTTTCTCAGTTGAAGCTTGTTCACTTGGAGAATTATCGGCATCTCGGGGTCTAGAAGAATGGCTCAGAGCCTTTGCTTGATCACCGCGAACCAAGAAGCCCTCAATAGCCTTGTTGTTTATCACGCCATCTTCAAAACTTGACACGCTCAATGACAGATTGGAACAGGGCCATGCTTGCCCGTCAGCCACAACCTGACGAAGCAAAGTATTGGCCAGATCGTAGAGAAGGTTTTCGCTAATTGCGTTAGACCCAGGAATTGGGATTTGGCGAGAATGGGATTGTGCATTTCCAGTTCGATGATGCATCGTAATCACTTTCGGACGACGTCTATTTTCAAGCACGCCGTCTTCCACAAGCCGGCCATATATATCGGCCGCGAAAATTCGAAGCCACTTCTCAGCTTGGTCAAGTGACTTGATACTCGGCCTGAAAGATTTCGCGGATAGCATAGATTTAATTTGGGTTCGAGGGTTGACCTCGCTGCGGTCATCGCCACGGATGATCCCGTAGAGCCAGGTTGCCGTGTGGTCAGCCAGCTTGGTGCGCAGTTGTTCAAGGGGTACATTCAGAAGATCGCTGACTTTCTCGGTCCCAAAGGCAGCAGTTATTTGGTCACCGAGTTTACCACCCAGCATTCTGATTTGAGTAAATTTATAACCACCTAGGAAATTCTGCACCGCCCGATTCCTCACAACAGTTTGTAGGTTGGGCTTGTTGCAAGCACTTCCTAGTTTTGCGATCATCTTATTGCGGCCAAGTCCAGCGGAACAGGTATAGCTGAGTTTCTCCCAAACTGCATTTCGCACCGATCGTACAATCTCGGAACCTATCAGCATGACAACATCATCCCAGTCTGGGTCATCTTCCTCTGTTTCTTGTTGATCCAGGTCCACCAAGCAGTCGGTGTCCCATTGCAAAGCCGTGGTCGGTGGTATAGGCAGTTCTGTATCCCGGTTCTCGTCTTGTGTTCCCATCCGAAGTTCGGGGTATCTATGAAGAAGCGCCCTATATATCAATGGAGACAAATCAATGAATACTTCATCGATACTGGCTTTCTCCAACACAGCCGAGGCTTCTTGTCCCGTATTCTGGGATTCAACTTCCGTGTTATCGGCACTCCATGCGGCTAGAGCCTCCTTCATCGTCTGGAGGATCTTTCGCGATTGTGCTCGGTACGGATCTAGCGACACCTTGTCCGTGCTGATATTTCTGAATGAATCATCCCGATATGCCCACCGTCCTCCCTCTCCCTCTCGAAAAGTTGCAACATGCTGTAAGACGAGATCTGGACAAAGTTTCCTGGCCTCAGCAACGGTGATTAATCGACTGATTCCGAAGGGTCGGGCGGCGTAATTGATGGCAATTAAAGAATCCCATTGTCGCACTGCTAAGGGTACATCCCGTGGAGTGCCCAGGCGGACCATCTCACATTGTGCATAGAAGGCATCGAGATCGATATGCGCAATTACGCGTAGAGGGGTTGCCGTAGATCCCTGTCGTAACCCTTGTAATTGTCGATAAGTAAAATTGGAGACCTTCAAGTGATCGGACGACTCGGTAGGTTCGGACATCCTCGCACGTGCGTCATGACGGTGAACAGCTCATTGAGGGCGTCGAAGTCGGTCAGAGCTTCGAGTCTGATGCATTCAACCTTGGAACGAGTTCCTAAAATGGACTAGCGCGGGCACGTGTAAGCTTCATGTGTTTGTTTCCCATTTCTTCAATTTCAACCTTCGAATTTTGATAGCATCTTACATATCAAGTATTTCAATGTTCTTCTACAACAATTAGACCGGTCCAAATATAGCCACAATTTACTTTTCTATATTCCCCCAGATTGACCAGGGATGTTCAAATGACACATCACATACGGAGTAGTGCCTGCTTATTTTTCTTCAACCAACCTGCATTGTCAGATGTTGTGTTCTCGTGCAGGTTTTTCCGATGTCGTAACTCGCCCACTGCAGTCTCGAACATGAGAAAAAAAAAAGAAACGAGACAGGGTGATCTCCGATCTGTGCGATCCAGCTGACATTGGCGGGCTGTGAGTGGATAATAGGCTCGGAGGCTTCGCACCGGTGCCCAAAGCCACGCATTCCTGCCCAACTGTCATCTCGTGTGGACATCGCAGCTTTTCAAGTGGCAAGTCCCAAGTTGCCACCGGTCTTTATTGTGAACAGATTGGCCCTTGGATGTCATGCTCGTTTTACAGATGGTGTGTGAGGGATCAATCACGATAGTTTGCCCCCTTACCACTGCCCTCTCACATCATACATATGAACATCTGACAGTTTAATGTTCTCATTTACTATCAACAGCTTTGCTTGACCGCTGAAGATCCACCGGTGGAGTCATGTACAGTTTCGATATTAATCCGTTCCAGGGGCACAGACTAAGGAGCAATCCAAGCTGGTTGAGTATGGGGGATCGGCCCTTATTTTTTTCGTCCCAACTAAGATATAGTGGGAAACAAAGAGGCAAGCTGTTTGGGGGCTAGTTTTAGGGTACAAAGTACATCTCTAAATAAGTACTCTGGAGTACATCTGCCTAGGCATCTACATCTGTCTCCTATTTTTGGTCATACTTCCATGATTGTGAAGGTTGTTTTGATCAGGAGAGTATATACTCCGTAGTTATACCGTAATCCTAAAATGATACATGAAAAATTCTCAAGCGGCTACAGACATAGGGTTGCACATCAGTCTAATCCACATTTGAACGTGCATGCTTTTGCCTTGATCTCAGTGGGGAGTCGTGGCACCAGCCCAAGACGGCCCAACCGCCCTGGCCCTTTGAAGTCCACTTTACCTCCTCCCCCCCCTCCTCTTCCTTTCTCTTCTTTTCCTTCTTTTCATTCCTCTGGCTACTCTTGCCAGTTCATCTCCTCTTTTCTCCCCCCTGGCAAATATCTAGTTCGTCCCGAACAGATTACAGATATCCCACAGGACCCCACCCGTGTTTCTCTTTCCCCCCTAATCCTGACAACTCCTCTCTTGACACCTTACCTCTTGTCGCCATTCAACCATTTTTTGGGGCCTTGTCAATTTCCCAGGATAATTGCCCCAGTGGACAACCAGCAAGGATTTCTACCCAGGATTAACCGGACTTTTCCCAAGGACTTTTGCTATTTGCGACCAGGACTCTCTTTTCTGGCCACTTCCCAAGGATCGTATCTCGTTTTCTACTTGTCCTGGAATCGAGAAAACAAATCATTAAGTCGTGATTGTCGACTTTGGAACCTTCTCGTCGCCTGATAGAATCTGTACATCCTACAATAAAAACGGGCTCACCTCCATCAACTTTCCCAGGACTCTTCAATCTACCACACGGACTTCCTCTTCTCTGGCCTTTTGGATCCGAGGACTTTTAAATTTTTAAACCGGATATTTTCCTCCCTCGGAATACATTATGACAGGCCGATATGAAGGACGCCCGGAGCGTCAGAATGAATATTTCATCCCCGGTGACGGAATCAGCCGAGAGGTTATTCAAGCAGATATTTGTCGCTACCTTGGAAACGATGCCCTCGTGAGACCTGGCAACCACAATGTTCGTCTTCCGCTCTTAACTCGACTCAAAAATATGCCGTTTTGACTAATCATGAACAGGGTCGTGCAGGATTCTTCATCCGTGCCTATCGGAATCTCACATCTGTAAGTGACTATGGAAATGCGACAACAAGCGGGATATGTCAAGATGGGATTCTAACCACATATCGGATGCAGGAGATGATTACTGATCTGAAGGCTGACTCCGCTCGTTGGGAGGCGGATGTCTCCCGCCGGGCTGACCTAGGCTACCCGCGAGGGAATTACATTCAAGACACGAATGTTTCCCACCCACCTAACACTGCTCCAGCGACCTATGCCCCGGCGCCCGCTCATGAGAATCGTCAGTCACAGGGCCCATCTCCTACGCCTTTTACTGCAGCACCCGCTCAGCCATACAACATGGATCCTTACTCCCAGGGCCCCTACAGTGGATCCCAGAATGCCCCCTACACCAACCCTTCATCATACACATCCACCACTCACTCGCCATATGCATCAGGTACAGCTCCGTACCCCCCACCCCAGGTTTCCTACTCTGGTTCCAATCAGCCCATCGTGACGGCTGCGGACATGCACCCCCAATCGTACACATACGCCCCCACGGGCTATGGTTACGATAATGGCCGAAGCAATGCTCCCCGATACCCAGGACCTGGATATGATGCCGAACAGGAGTACTCTACCGTAACTTCCGGGATGTCCTATCCTACCACTACTGCCCCGGATCCCCGGATAGGAATGGAGCCCAGATACACCCCAGAGTACGAGCGCAGGCCACAAGCAACCAGAGACAACCCCCACCGTCGGCGGTAAACAAGAATGATCGCCCCAAGGGTTTTCCTCCATGATCTCTTCTCTCCATACAACATGTGGTCCAGTTGATACTTTTCTTCCTGGAATATCTCCAAAATTCTCCTAGGAATAATGTTGGTGTCTCTGTGGATTTTGAAAATCTCCTGGACAATTTTACGCCTTTTTCCTCTCGCTCTCGGCCACAATTCTCAAATTCCCAGTTCGTCTCCAGTCCAGGAACTCCAGACTAAGTCAGAGATGTTCAATGTTTCACATCCCACTTCAAATGGCCTAGTCAGGAGGATATTCCACTTCCCATTGGACATGAATCCCACTTCTTTTTTTTACCCATGGACTTCCACTGGAACTGTACCCAATTGCTCTGTAGCAGGAGCTTGGACTTCCCGTGGACCTTCTTTTGATTTCTCTCCGTGCTTCTGTGCAACTGGCCAGCCAGGAGTAGGAGTGATGTGTCTTGATTGAGTTTACGAAAAGGTGGCCCGGACTTGAGCGTTTTGTTTGTTTCTCTCTGGTCTCACGCGGATTCCGGGAATACTCACCCAATAATGCGATACTTTTTGGTTTAACGGTGTACAGGCTTTTTGTTTTCTTAGCAACTTTTTTTTGGTTTCGTCTTTCCCTTGAAAGGATGGGGTTTTGTTCTACTTTTTTTTCCCTTTGGTTTGCGAGAGCGCTGTGCTTCGATAAACTAAGGCTGGTGACCTACATGTAGATATGAGCATTTGCGGCGTTGGTCCGTCTTCCGTGATTGACGTTGACGTTTTGATGTGCAAGATTGTGGATTGACTCCATGATTTTAATGAATCTCTTTCTCTGCATAATTTCTTGCTTTTGATCAATATATCACCTTTTGAAATTACTGACATTTTTGTCCGGGCTTCGGAGTATAATGCAAAGCCTGCAATTGATCAGGTGTTGCAGTCCTAAATATAGCGAGCCTGTCCATTGTGGGAAGTCCATGTCGGGCTATGCGCAAGAATGCAATTATTCGTAACATAGCCGAGATACTCAAAATATAGAAAACCGACCTGATGTCGATTATATGATTGCACAAAACATAGTACATACACTGTAGCGCCGGGCTCGACATTCGGCGTATGCGCAAAAAATATTGGTATCAAAGCATTTTGATGGCCAGGAGAGGTTGCCCCAGAACAAGTCTTTTCGATTGCCCACATTGATGCGATGGTACTTGTTCATCAGTCCAGTGGCACAGCCAACTCATCTCCTGCCATCCGCTGAATTTAATCCTCCCAGGCTCGGACAATACACGAAATTCTCTTTAACTTCCGATAACTTGGCATTTTAGTAGTTCCGAAACCATTTATTCGTCATCGTAGCCCTTGGGGATCACACGCGGACCCTGCGGAACTGTACGTATTGAAGATACCGGTCAGATTCAAATTACTTGGATATAGTTTTGATGCTCATGCACCAATTTGTGGGAATTGAATGGGTTCATACTGGGATATGTCAGAGGAATGGGCTCGGGGTCGACGTCACCGAGGGCGCGGCGGATGGGGGGAATAGTGGCCAGCGAGATGGGACCCATGACGCCAATGCAGAGAGCAGCGAGGATAGCTGGCTTCTCGTGCGCAGCCCAGCGGATGTAGCGGAGGGGAGTCGACCAGAACTGAGGGGTAGACATGGTTGTAGGAGGAGGTCGTTGATGACCGGTCGGGGTTTTTTGCGATAGAAGTGGGAGGTCAATGCCTGTATGAGAGAATAACACTGTTCAAGCGCGCTCGAATGAACAGATACACCGGTCCACTTGGTGGTTGTTGAGTGGCGGGGATAAGAGAAGCAAAATTGAAGCCGTAGGGACGAAGTGAAGTTGAAGTTCGGAGATGCGGACCTAGCGCTCTCAGGTCTTGGCACTCGCCCATTAAACACGTCGCCCTTTCATGGCTATCTATACAACTTGGATCTTCAACCACCTTCCTTTACTTACTTCTTTTTGATCCTTCCGCTCCGCTGTGCGGAATTTGTTCAAAATGAGGTGGTGTCTTGCGTTGCTTATTTGTTGCTTCTTGGCTGTGGTAAATGCGCTGAGTAGCTCCGGCAGTCGCCTGTTGGCCGTTCTAGAAGACACAGAACAGAAGGACCTGTACTCCACGTTGTGGGCAGACCTAGAGGGTAATTTCTCTGCATCAATCCAGAAGCTAATTACTAACTATCGGATTCAGCACGAGGATATGATGTCTCAATCGAATCTTCCAAGAGTGAACAGCTTGCTCTGTTCAAGCATGGCGAAAGAGCTTATGATCACCTCCTGATCCTCCCTCCCAAGTCCAAAGGTGAGCAACCCTGATTCCATTGGTTCAATGTCTAGTCAATTGACCCAAGAATACAGGCCTCGGCCCCTCCTTGACCCCCAAACACATTCTCGACTTCATGAACAAGGATGGCAACATCCTCCTCGCACTTTCCGGCAAGACTGCCACTTCCAGCGCCATCAGCTCCCTTCTCCTTGAACTCGATATTCACCTATCCACCGATCGCTCACACGTTATTGTCGACCACTTCAACTATGACACCCTCTCCGCCGCTGATAAACATGATGTCCTCGTTCTCCAGCGCCCTGGACCTCTCCGTCCTGACGTCAAGGCCTTCTTCGATGGTGAAGGTGTCCTTGCTCTCCCCCGAGTTGCTCCCCAGACTCTTGGTGGTGACAGTGTCCTCCTCTCTCCTATTCTCAAGGCCCCCGCCACTGCCTACAGCTACAACCCCAAGGAGGGCAACCCCGCCGCGGAGGATATCCTGGCTACCGGTTCGCAGCTGAACGTCGTTTCCGCGATGCAAGCACGTAACTCTGCCCGCTTCACTGTTCTTGGCTCGGTGGAGTCGTTGGAGGACAAGTGGTTCTCCGCCTCCGTCAAGACCCCCAACGGCAAGAAGACTACTACCGTGAACCGCGAGTTCGCTAAGCAGTTGACTGCTTGGGCTTTCAAGGAGACTGGTGTCCTGAAGGTTGACAAGGTCGAGCATCGCCTTGCCACTGAGGGCGCAGAGTTGAACCCCTCGATCTACCGGATCAAGAACGAGACTGTAAGTGAAACAACGATATATTGACATTTTCTTCCAAACTAACCAGCAATCTTACTTGCAGATCTACAGCATTGAGGTTTCTGAGTATGTCTATGACAAGTGGGTTCCCTTTGAGGTTCCCGCCGGCGACGCACTCCAGCTCGAGTTCACCATGCTCTCGCCCTTCCACCGCCTGAACCTTGAGCCAACCGGCCGCACCGATACCAGCACTGTGTTCAGCACTCAGTTCGTGACCCCCGATCAGCACGGTATCTTCTCCTTCCGTGTCAACTACAAGCGTCCCTTCTTCACCTCCATCGAGGAGAAGCATGAGGTCACTAACCGTCACTTTGCACACGATGAGTACCCACGCAGCTGGGCTATCACTGGCGGTTGGGTATGGATTGCCGGTCTGTGGTCGGTGATTGGAGGATTTTTGGCTTTCGTCATTGTCTGGCTCTACTCTGCCCCCGTGGCTGATAAGCTTAAGAAGACTCAGTAGATTTATATTTATCTCTGTATGCATTGTTTTTTGTCTATGATTCTCAATTTTCTTGCATGATCTTGATTTGCCGAATGAACACTAGGTCCCAAAGATGGCCAATTCATGATATTCTCCTGTGGCTCCCGTTCTGGCCTATCCGTATGTTTGCTGGTCATGGCATTGATACTGACGCCAATGCCCTGCAACAAATATCCCAATGGTAGATAAGGGCTATTCTACTCCGTGGCTGTAGAGGACCTCCCGATGCTAAGCTGAAGGAAATATCTCTACTTGGATATCTGATATTACTTCTCTGGCCTATTTAGTTGAAATACCATCCAGCTTTCACTTGGTCCCATTATTCTATTATACCGGGGAGAGATGTTGATAATGGCTGAGTGCGCTAATACACTTGGCTGACTTCCAAGGTTGCCCCGGGTTTGATATACTGAACCTGAAATTGAGAAACGTACCATTTACGTCCACGCCAACTGCACTAACGACGTTGCGTTACAAGACTTGACCATCGAACAGCAAGAAAATTGAAGTCACACGACATTGTACACCTCGCGAACACATGAGCCGTGGCGCGATATCCCCTACTCCTACATCATCTGCGAGCAGTATCAGGTCCTGCCACCAGCTGTCTAGGAGTTCTTTGCCTCAAAGATGGGCGGGAATGACACTACCGCCTGCCGAGCTCACATCCGCTGTTCTCAGGGTTCTTGAGTATGCCCGATTTGCTTTCCTCGTGATAATTCTGGGAGGGACAGTGAAGGTGGAATATGTATTATCAAATTTGGGTATGAAGTATCTCAGTCTATCTTGAGAGAAGTGAGTGTCAGAAATATATGTTTCAAGCGTAACCGAACTCCGGGCCATGCCAGCATGTAATCAGCGAATCCAAATACCCTTTTTACAGGCCTCTTGTCTTCTCGGGATCCATCTGCACTTCGTTTCCGCTAATTTCCTTGACGGTCTGGTATGCAGGCTGTCCAGCATATAGCTGTCCCCCGGACGAGTTGCCGGATTTCCCGCTCTCCTCGACATCCTTGGATACTGAGATGGGCCGATTGCCACGGAAGCGCTTGCGCATATCGATCAGACCACGCCTGTGTCGAGGGAAAATCCAATAATTAGCGAGGGTGTTCCTTTTGTCCGTAATGGTCTGCCTAGATCCGAGGCTCCATTCCTGACTCACTTGCACTCGCTGAAACCTTTCCGCAACTGCTGGCATTTCATGGGTAACTCCTCGGCGAGAGGGGAGCTGAGGCATTCACGGGGCGTATGACGCTGGACCATGATGCAGTCAGACTCCTGGAGGCATTGGGCTAGAGCCTCCCCTAGATAATCAATTTGGGTCAGTTTGCGTTATGGGCAATGGAGGGTTGCGGTAGAAGATCCAGATGGGCCAGGAACGTGACCCTTAACCGGTTGTGCGACTCGGTGGGTTATAACGTACGGATATCATTGCATGAAGCTGGCATGTTGACGCGACCTTGTGGACGGATGCGCAACCAAAAACATCAAAAGAGCAAAAGAATGAGACCATCCGGTGGACACGGCAAATTCGGGCTGTCAGTTATCTCGACGCTGATTGGTAGATGTGGAGAATCCCCGGATGAGATAAGCACCGCTATCACATGTCGATGATGACGTCGAGGGACTTTCATCGCTTGTTTTGCGCTTTTAAATGTTTTGCAACATCTCTGTCGCTTGCATAAAATCTTCAATTATACTTGCACATATGCATGGCAATTGTTGTTCATTATGGCACGAGTTCCGTTCATAGGAAGACTGTTCTGGTAAGGAAATCCAAGCATTAACAAAGGATGCAGTAACTGATCTTTACGTCTTTAGGTATGAGTACCTAGCTCTCTTCGGGTCTTTAATTCTTGTTCTGCTTGAGACTATCATTCACTTAATTACTTGGTGCCTTCGTTAGTGAAAATCACCAACCAATGGATGATATCAACACTAACCCCTAACCAGCAAGCCCTATCATCAAATTTTGTTATGGCCAATCCAAGGCACTTTTCAACCTTTTGATCCCTAATGAATCCCGCCCCAAGCGCACAAAAGAGGAAATATTTGCCTGCTCTGTTGCAGACGCATCTGATTTCACTGAGATATGTGCCCTCTTCGGATATCAAGCCGAGGAGCACATTGTACAAACAACCGATGGTTACCTTCTTGGACTTCATCGCCTGGCATATCGAAAAGGAGAAGAAGACATGCGTGTCAATCATGGTCCCAGTGGGATCCGGAAAAAGGTTGTGTACCTCCACCACGGCCTGCTCATGTCAAGTGAGGTGTGGGTAGCCTTGACAGACGAGCAGCGGTGCCTGCCCTTCCAGCTGGTAGAAAGGGGATACGATGTATGGCTAGGAAACAACCGTGGAAACAAATACTCCAAGAAGTCGATCCGATTCTCGCCTGGTTCCAATGAATTTTGGGATTTCTCTATCGATCAGTTCGCCTTCTCTGATATCCCCAACAGCATCGAGTACATCCTCGAGGTAACAAATCAGCCGTCATTATCTTACATCGGATTTTCCCAGGGAACAGCGCAGGCATTCGCTACACTCGCTATTCATCCATTGCTCAACCAGAAGATTGATGTGTTTGTGGCACTTGCACCTGCCATGGCTCCTTCCGGTCTCCCCAATCGCATTGTTGATTCACTAATGAAAGCCTCTCCGGACTTTTTGTTCTTGTTGTTTGGTCGTCGCAGCATCCTGTCGTCGACAACCATGTGGCAAACAATACTCTACCCCCCAATATTTGTGCGTATCATCGACACAGCCCTTAGCGCCCTTTTCAACTGGAAGTGTCGCAACATCACTCAAGCACAAAAGCTTGCTGCCTATTTGCATCTCTATTCTTTCACCAGCACCAAGTCTGTCGTCCATTGGTTCCAAATTATTCGGAATAAGAACTTCCAGTTCTACGATGATGAAATATATGCCCCCTTCAGCATGGCCGCCAGCGAACGCTTTTACAAGCCTGTCAAATATCCTACTCGAAATATCAAAACACCCATTGTCCTCCTATACGGTGACAGCGACAGTCTAGTTGATATCGGAGTGATGCTGAAGGGGTTACCACACGCCACTGTCGCCCAAGCAATTCCAACCTACGAGCATCTAGACTTTTTGTGGGCCTCCGACGTTGACCGCCAAGTCTTCGGCTATGTGTTCAATGCCCTCGAAACCTATAGCCGGGGTGGCCCGTCGGCTGGCAACAGTACGGGGTCTGAGAAACACGGACTTTTAACCGACGGACGTGTTTCCAATACAAAGGCTGCCCGAAAAGCCCACATCTTCCCCAATGATGTAGCCTTCGGAGCCACTCCATAAACCGTGTTACATTTACATGTACAACATATAACATACAAATTTTCCTATGGATGAGCGGGGTCATGGCTTGGCGGGTAAATCGCCACAACCGTCCTCGGGCGTATTGAGGGGATTATCGGATGCATTTGTACGGTACCGATTCATGAAAATATGGTGTGTTGTGTGGACGGTGTACAGATTGCCACCTGTCAATGACTTGGCACGATAAATTCCGGCAGAGTTTTCGAGGAATCCGATGCCTAAATACACCGAAGTGGCGTTAAGATGTGGAAGATCCGAACTTGCCGTGTGCCTGACTATGTGCTAAGAGCAGAATATGTAATAAAGAAAATATGTGACCCAATCTCGTATCCACGGCCTAGACAGGCTGGGCATTCAAAAGTAGGCACTAGGGCTAAGTGATAATCTAACTTCCTTCCCAAACGGTTTCGGTCTATGAGATAAGCTTTGATTAAACCGATCTCTAGAGAACTCGAGGGGATTAATTTAATGTTATATTGATCTATATTGTATATAGTAAATAGACACAGTGATATTCAGGGGCGTACGGATGTCAGGCAGGTGGCGTATTAACCATAAGCCGAATATTCCGCCCGGGCGTAGAAAAATAGAAAAAATACGAGAAAAATGAAAATAAATAAATCAGATTGAAAAGTTTTTGTCCGAATTGTCTGTGGGCTTTGATTCGATCTAGACCTGGCGCCCATCTCCACAATACAGACTAGCGTTGACCGAACAAGTCAGAAAGAACAGCGAAGAATTGAACAATGAGAAAAACTTAAATCTTCGGTTCAGGAACTACGCCACCCATGGAAATATTATTGGTGAATTCATTCGGGTTGGTCAAACCAAATCTTTGTTCCTGACCCTAACAATGGTCGCCAATAGGATCAATAGGACAATACCAACTAGTCAGGCACCGAGCACATGGATACACATGGTCAACCCAATTTTATGGCTCCAATGGGCTATACAGCCTATCAAACGTCTGCCACAGCATAATCTGACACACCCAATGCCCTCAAGCCTATTGACTCCACTTCAAACAATAAAATGGGCGCTATACCCTCCTTCTCCTCTTTTTTTTCTCTGTCATCTTTCCGAATCACACTCATTTAGATTCATACCTTGGGGCTGAGCCTCAGTACGTTCACTTCAACAGTCTGTAGATCAGACTAAAGTCCCTCTTTCAAAGGATATCACCGTCCAACACTCTCCCTTCAATATCAAATTCACCAAAGCCAATATGCGCTTCAACATCCTCAGCCTTTCGGCCCTTCTGGCAACTGCCTCCGCCTTCCCCGTCGCCATGCGCGATGTGGAGACCGTTTGGGAGACCGTCTATGAAACCGTCTATGAGACAGCCACTTTGATCAGTGCGCCCACCAACCTCCCCATCCAGGCGGCTGCCATTCCTTCCACCACCACCACCAATGCAGTCCCTACCACAACCAGCGTTCCAACTCTGAACGTCCCCACCGTTGCGCCCACCGTTGCGCCAACCCCCGTTGCCCCATCCAGCACCAGCAGCGCTCCCGCCGCCACCGGCAGCGGCGTCACCATCGTCAACAACCTCCCCTCAACCGTCTACTTGTGGGTTGTGACCGAGAACCCCGGTGAAATGCAAACCCTGGCCTCCGGCGCATCCTTCACCGACACCTGGCTCACCAACTCCAACGGCGGCGGTATCTCCATCAAGATGTCGACCACCGAAGTCTGCGACGACGTCCTGCAGTTCGAGTACACCCAGTCCGGTGACGTCCTCTTCTGGGACATGTCCTCCATCAACCTGTCCAAGACATCGGAGTTCGTCAACGCCGGATTCCGTGTCACCATCAGCGACGAGTCTTGTCCTACATCGACCTGTGCTCCTGGTGATGCCAACTGTGTCCAGTCCTACCAGCACCCTGATGATGTCAATACCCTCGCTTGTGGTATCGATGCCGCATACACTCTTACTCTGGGTTAGAGTTGCTTGGGTTTTCTAGGTGTTTAGTTGGATATACCTTCGGTTAGGGGGGAGTTTTTACGAGCAAAGTACAAATTACAATGCACAAATCTGATTTCTTTCTGGATATAGTGAAACGTTTATAGATGTGAAATGAAAATTAGAATGGAAAATATTCCAGATGGCAGTATCATTGTAGACCTTGACATATGGGTTTCATGACCCAATTTGATACATTCATGTGTAATCGCATGTGAGTTATTAGACAGTGCTGTACAGCGGAAGGGATAACAGAAGATTCTTCCAATGTCCCCAAAGGGGGGCAATTCATGCTGACAGCGCACATGCTACTATATAGTTACCTAGGTACCAAAAGGATTCCACATTCACTTTATAATATCAAGCAGATAAAAAGAAATAAATATTCTGCAGAATATAATTAAAACAGAATCGCAACATGGCCATAAATCTAGACCCCTCTAGAGCCGAACTAGGGCTTCGGATCTCCGATTTCCAATTTAAGTCTTCACTCCACCCAAGCGAGAGACATCCTTGGCATGCCCAGAGATACCTCGTATACAAAATACAACCTAGTACACAGGCATCTTGAAAGCAGGGAAAGAGTAAGTCCAGCTATCAATCGACGCCTTATCATCAACACACACAAAAGAGCTATTACTCTTCCAGAGCGGACGAGTAGGCCACTGACAAAGCATCTGCGTCTCACCCTCATAAGTACCAGACGAGACAGTCGCATTCAAACGAGAAGGCTTAACCCCATTCTCCACCCAGTCAATCATAGTCTGCATATTATTCTCCGGGAAAGGTCCGGGCTGGAGTTTGTTCGTACCGCAGTGCGCAGCACCGGGGATGAGATAGAACTGGTACCAATCGGCCAGTTCCTTGAGACTATCACGCGAAGACAGATGCGGGTACATGATTGAGCGGACGGACTGCCAGTAATGCACTGAAGATGCAGCGGGGATACTAGGGTCCGATTCACCGTGGTAGTGTAGTAGTTTTCCGCCGGAGGATTGGAACGTAGTTAGATCTGGTAGGGTTGTTTGTAGACTGTCCATGTAGCGGACCATGCCGGTGGTCATCCACTCGACGAGGGTGTCGTAGGTGACGTTTTCGAGGTTGGAGAGGTTGGAGAGATCCTGGAGTTGGATGAACTTGGTCACGTATTCGCCGCCTGTTGAAGGGATGCTGAGTTCCCATTTGCTGGTTGCGTTGTTCCATTCAGTGTCACCGTCGCTGAGTTCAGAGCCGATTTGCCAGGATAGGTAAGCGCGATCGCCTTGGGTGTTGTGGAGGCCGTCGTAGATGGTTTGAGCGACTTTCACGCCCTGGGCAGTGACTTTGCCGCTCTGTTCGGGTCTGGTGGAGGTGCTGGTGCCGTCGGCGCGCTTGCTGAAGCCGAAACCTAGGGAGGTGCTGGTTTCTGCTGCGCAGTAGTATTCCTCGCCGATGATGGAGCTCAGGTTGAAGTTGAGCTTGCAGAGGTCGGTGCGGGAGATGACGCCGTCGGTTCGGCCGTCGAGAGGATCGCACGCGGCGATGGTGGCGTTGACTATTTTAGCCAGCTCGCATGGAGGGGGGTAGTAGTCGAGGGTTTGCTCGGCTGCTGCGGGGAAGACGTGGTGGACTTGCTGTTGAGCGAAACGGAAGGCCGGGGCTCCGGTGATTGCTCCATCGTATTCCTCTCCGTAGCGCTGGATTTGGCTCATACCCTCACGGCCGCCGTCAGAGCAGCCTTCGTAGTAGGTGTAGACCTTGGTGGAGGAAGACAAGCCATAGAAGCCCTGGGTAAGAGCCTTTCCGATCTTAGTCATTTCTCCTAGAGCTTGGTATCCGAACATGTAGGTTGCATCCCAGTTGATGGTTCCATTGCCGTAGAGAACCACCTCGTCGTAGCTGTTATTGAACGCATCGTAGCCTGCGCTGGTGGCACCACCAACAGCACCGTACTCAAGACCACCAGTTGCATCGCTAGACAGAGAGAAGCCACCGCCTCCAGCGACATAGAAGCGCTTCTTGAAGTCGGAGGGCTTAGGGAAGGCGTACTTGATGACGACGGAATCTCCCTTGCCAGTGTGCTCGTAGGTGACGGTCACATTGCAGTAGGTGTAGGTCTCGGTGCTCCCCATACCAGCGGTAGCATTGTAGACAGCATTGGCAGTCACAGCAGAAGGGGTCATGTTGATACCAAGCAGAGTGCCATCGGAGGGCAGGGCAGACTGCACATTCGAGACGGTACAGACATCAGCAAGCGAAGCAGCGCTTGCTGATGCTGCCAGGGCTGCAACAGATGCGCCCCGAGAGAGACGCATGTTGAAGTATATCAAATGGATAGATATGAATTGGAACAAATGAGTGTCAAGAAGAGAATTGAACGAGTGTATAGATCTAGGGAATTAGCAGGAACGCCAGAGGGAAGACTATACTTATAGTCTCTGTACGGCTCTATGCGATAATCGTCGATTTCTAGTTTCGGGCAATTGAAGCGCAGATCATGTGTTCACCGACTGTGTTGCCTGCAATCAAACCATGAAACCATATGTAAAACATAGGATCAGGCTGTATCGGCGTGGATACTTAGTCGTCGTCATCTAACCATTGCAAGGCACAGGCTCGAACTAGGTCCGAAATAGAACTTGAAGGCAAACAGGTCCCCATAGCCTAACGTATAGTTCAATTTCAGGTTCCGAATTAAGGGGTACGGAATAATTCATTTCCTGGGATAGAATTGACCACCAGTAATGGGCAAGGAAGTCACTAGCTAATTTTGAGTTTGATGTGGCCGGGTAATGTTTATTCCCTTATATGCTTAACATCTAACCCTAAAACCTATCCATGGTTGTGCAACCGCGTCACTTCTACGTACACGTGGCTAAAGTAGGTCTGATCTTAAGTGTCAGCCTCATAGACTACGGTTAAACTTCGGCTTTAGCAAGTATCATGTCCATAGAAGCTATAATTGACATACTAAATAGCACCGGAGCTAATTACGTACTCTCGTAAGTATAACTATTTGATGAGAAAGGCTAGTCTACAAGATTATTCGCTTCAATCTTTTTCCGCTTAAGTCCTTTGACTTTGGCACTTGTTCGGAAATATTGACATCTGGCTCATTCTATTTGGTGGTCCTTTGACACGGTGTCGACCGGATTGAATGTCTTCTCGTTCTCCTATTGTCAATCAATCGATGGGGTATTTACGTAGTGACAGTCCAAAACTGATTAAATATTATGTGAAACATGCCACTATCTGATCTAAGGGAGAAGGGGGCCTTGTAGTGAACCATGAAGTCGTTATCAGATCAAGAACGAAGTATCCACTATCAACATGGCTTAGTTTGGAAACCAATAGCCTAGTGGAACTCTCGGATTTAATTACTTCTTTAGTAGCTCAATATTCTCGGGGAAACAATACCAGAAGAACAAACTTACATTCTCACATCTCTAGACAGAAATCCTGTAGGTTATTATTTCAATCGATCTTCACCATCTTGCCATATGCCTCGTTAGCTTCCATCAAACGATAAGCCTATTGGATTTCCGCTCTCTATGTGCAGCTTCATTTCAAAATATTCCACCAAACCTAATCTCCTTCCAAGCCTAGTGATTTTATGCCTCTGTATTTACAAATAAACACCTTTTCCTCTCCATGTGCGTTTAGGAATTTAACTAGCCCAACTACCATTCACACCCAAACCACCCTCTTAACATCAAAATTCACCGCTTCAGTCGTCCAAGGAAGCACATAACCCCGTTGATTACTCACAACCGTAATACCCCCCTTCCTAAACTCAGTCGTATAATGCGTATGCCCAAAAACCCAAGTCCGAACCCCACCCCAAGACAACGATAGCAGATCCGATCCAAACGCAAACCTCCACCCATTCTTAGCATGCACCGGACTCGAAGTGCGCTGCAGTGAAGGCGCATGATGCGTAACGACCAGGATAGTCCTCTTTTCATCATTCCGAGCCCGGATCTCACTTTTTAACCAGGTCAAGTCGGAGTCGTGCGCATTATTGTGTTGCTCAACAGACCATTCTTTAATCTTTTGGAAATCGGAGATTCGGTAATGGACTATATCGGCTGATTTCTGGGGAATCCGGGACCAGAGTGTACAGCCCAGGATTGTTATGTTGGAATCCGGGATGTCGTAGCGTCGTTGGTGGAGTAATACAAGGCGGTTTTTCATACAAGGTTCTTTTTCGAGATGTTTTGCTTTTTCTAGGCCTGTGTTGAAGGTTGTTTCGTAGAATTCATGGTTTCCGAGGGCCAAGAAGACGAGCTCGAATTTGGATGTTTGAATTTGTAAGAAGTCACGATATTTGTCGTAATCTTCCAGACGGCCGATATCGCCTGCTAGGATGAGGTATTTGGAGCAAACGGGGATTTCAAAGGAATATTCTTGACTGATTTCCAGATGTAGGTCAGAAAGGATCTGGAACGAGACAGACGGGCTGCTGGGTTTTTGGAAAAGGGATCGGATCGTCTGTAGCGCCATGTTGAGATATAATAAGATGAAATTCAACTGACTGAAGTAGATATACGGGAAATACGAGATTTCATGGCTATCGCGAGATGCCTAGGCTAATCATGTGATGTCCCTATATCCGATCAATCTACAAATTTGGGCTTTGAAAACAAATGTCTTCAAAGTGTAAAAGTAAATGGTTCAAATCGATTTGAATTGTTCCTAGCTTGCAGGTACATACTCATCACATACAGGGGTGGGTGGTCTTGCGCAAGATGATTGTCGATGTCAAGACCACCCAGGGAAATCAATCGCTTGGAACAATACAGCGCCATCCTCCGAAGTCCATCCCCGATTGCAAAAACAAAACATTCACGGGAAAAACGCCTTTCCTAGATGGCACAGAAGTGGGAGAAAGAAAAAGTATTTTCGGATTACACATGAGAAGAAAGCACGAGCGGGAAACAGAAGTCGCAGGCGCAATATGAAGCGTGGGGTCATTTAATTAGGTTGTCAGACCCCACGATGAAGAACAGTTCACTCTCCAAACCCGTACTCTCCGCCGTTTGAAGGGCTATCCCGGTTGGGATTATTGAAGGTGAGCTTCAGCTTCGGTTGGCCTGGGGTGCCAGCAGTAAGCGGAGTGTCGGCGCCCGAAGCAAACTCGGTCGAGCCATCACCGCCGGTGTAGTGATCTTCAAAGTTGGCGAGCTCGGGATGGTCCTCGGTCAATCGTCGCAATTCTACCAAGCACTTGGTCTGTTGTACCGTTAGCATCAAAATTAATAATCAATAAGGATTCAAACCTACCTCAATATCATTGGCATCCTGGAATAGCACGCTACCATCCTCGTTGTAAGTCCGAGCATTCTGGCAAAGCAAGTGGATGTCATCACGGAATTGCTTCAAGCTCTGGTAATCGGCCCGTTTGACCTTCTTCTGAATCGCATCCATGGCAATGGGATTTTGAATGATCATGTAGTAGTCGGGGTAATAAGAGCGCGGCGGAGGTTTCATGAATGGTTCGATAATTGAACGGACCATGGGACCCTCTTCACTATCAGAACCCTCCGGTTGCACCTCAGCCTCCATGTCCATCAACGACTGAATCACGGTATCAAGAATGCGAGTCAAGTTGGCACGGTCAGTGGGGTTGAGAGTATCCGGAACTTTAGGCTGGCGGCCTCTCTTGCGCTTAGGCTGGGGAGTTTCTTCCACAACTTCCTCGGCCTTGCGCTTAGGAGGAGGACCACGACGACGCTTCTGCTTTTGAGGAGTGTCGTCCTCATCAATAACCGATGGCTCGGGTGAAGAGTCATCTCCGTCACGTCCAAGCTTGTTAGACTTGCGACGCTCCACGCGAGCTTCCTTGCGTGCGATGGCGTCTTCAATAGTATCGTCATCGGCGTCCACTGCCATCAACCACTGCTCTTCGGTGAGACCATCATCGTACTTGGTCACCTTACGTTCACGAGCACCGCGACCAGTGACCTCAATCTCGACTTCTTCGGTGACAGGGTTATCCTCCTGCATGTAAATTTCGGGCAATTCTTGCTCGCACATAAGTCGAGGGTAGCGGTGGCCAGGACCATATTGGTCAGTAGCGATTCGCTGCCTGTCTATCTCCTGGAAGATAGGAATTTCTTCTTCGGATCGGGCCATAATTTCGTTGAGTTCATCATCATCCATTTCGTCGTGATCGCCAATCTGCTCCGCAGCCTCTGCCGTGTCCAGGAGAGTTCGAAGAAGTGCATCTCGCTCTTCGTTGGTGGACTTGTTATCGAACTTTCCGGCCTGGATAACCTTGCCATCCATGTCCAGCTTGAACTGTGCACGCTCAAGGATCTTCTCTTCGACCGAGTTAGAGCTGATAAGCCGCAAAATGCGGACCTCGTTCTTCTGGCCAATACGATGGGCACGATCCTGGGCTTGCAAATCCTGGTGAGGGTTCCAATCCGAATCGTAGATAATAACAGTGTCTGCAGTCTGCAGGTTGAGACCAAGACCACCTGCACGGGTGGAAAGCAAAAAGCAGAAGTATTCAGACCCAGGAGCGTTGAACTGTCTCAAGAGTTCCGATCGGTCGTCAGACTTAGTGGATCCGTCCAGGCGGAGATATTTCATTCCACGAAGACGAAGGAAATCCTCCATGATGTTCATAATCTGAGTCATCTGGAAGAACATCAAGACTCTGTGGCCCGTGGCACGGAACTTGGGAAGGATGCGATCAAGTAGCTCAAACTTTCCTGCTGTACGCCAAAGAAGGTCGTTGGACATGCGAGTGGGGTTCATCTGGTCTTCAACAGGCTCAAAGACGAAAGGATGGTTGCAAAGCTTTCGCAACTGCATCAGCATGTTGCTGAGACCACGCATTCCAGTCTTTCCGCCCTTGCCATCAGTGACGGCCATCTTATTGTGGGTAACAAGTTGCTTGTACAACTTGGCCTGCAAGGCGGAGAATCGGCACTTGATGACACGCTCCTGCTTGTCGGGCAAATCCTTCTCGACATCCTTCTTCAAACGTCTCAGAAGGAATGGCCGAAGAACTTTATGAAGACGACGAATAACAAGAAGTTGCTCTTCTTCGCTCAGATCCATGCGGTCCTGGCCACCAGTGTTTGCGAAAGGTGTGTTGAACCATTCATCAAACGACTTGACAGACTTGAAGATGTTGGGAAGGACGAAGTTGAGAAGAGCCCATAGTTCGGGCAAGTTGTTTTGCAAGGGAGTACCGGTCAAAATGATACGGTATCGACTGGTGTAATAGGTTGAGAGAGTGCTGCTGAGCTTAGATTGCGTGTTCTTCATGCGGTGACCTTCGTCGACAATCATGTGTGTCCACTTGATCTTGCTGAGGATCGGACGATCCTTGATGATGTACTCGTAGGTGGTGAGGAGAACCTGGAAGTTGCCCCAGCGGATCTGCTGTTGTTGTTGCTTTCGTGCATTGGGCGGACCCTTGTAGACTACCTTGCTCACGCCGGGTGCCCACTTATCGAACTCGTTGTTCCAATTAGTGAGCGTGGACAGTGGAACAATGACCAAGAACGGCCCATTGTTCTTCTTCTTTTCAATGATGTGGGTAATCAAACTGATGGTCTGGATCGTCTTTCCAAGACCCATCTCGTCAGCCAGAATACCGTTCAGGTTATTATTGTACAGTGAAATCATCCATTGCAGGCCCTTGATCTGATACTCCTTGAGAGTACCTCCCACGAGCATGTCGGGCTGCGAGGTGACTTCTTCATTGATGCGATGAGCGACAGCATAGTAGTCAACCTTCTTCTTTCCAGTGGCGGTCTGATTATCTCCCTCGTCTTCACTATCCGCAAGCTCTTGGTCAGACTCTTCGTCATAATCATGCGCCTCGCCATAACGATTCGCCAGGTTGCGCTGTTGCTCCTTGACGGAAGCAGCAAGCTGCTTAAGGAAGTTGTCGGTTTGCTTGAGTAGATGAGAGATACGCGAATCCTTCGCCTGTCCCAAAAGCTTCAGGTATGTCTCCTCATCGTTGGCCTTCAAAGCCTGCAGACGCTGCTTGGCGGTTCGCTCCACACGCCTCTGCTCTTCGCGCTCCATATGCTGGTGGTGTGAGATCATCATACGGCCCAGCTTCTGCGAGCGCGCACGTTGCTGGGCGGAAGCATTGGCGAGATCAGCGCTGTGGTTGAGGATGGCCTGCAGCTGATCGTACTGTTTCTTCTTCTCTCGAGATTCGCGGGCATCACGTTGCTGCTTCTCGAGCTTCTCAGTGATACGAGCCTCGCGCAGTGACTGCTTCTTCATGCGGCGGTGACTCGAGCGATTAGCTGTCATTCCGAGGTTACTATAGTGGAACATCTCGCTCTGGAGCTGCTTCCGGTACTGTCGCTGTTTGGGTAAGAGATTAAGCGACTTGTACTCAATCAGGGCCTTCAGCTTGAGAGAGTCATCGTAGGTTGGTGCGTCGCTCTTGCTTGTATCCCATACACCAAGGTTGGCGGGAAGTTGAGCAAGTTCTGCTTTGCGGGCGGTGATTTTATTGTACAGTATGATCTCACGATCCTCGCGCATCTGCTCCAGGTCGATACCAGGTGGCAAGAGAGCGGGGATACGCACACGGTTCGCACGGTTGGCGTGGTCAGTATAGCTAATAGTCTTGGAGAGCGAGTCGTATGGAGACTGGAAGTTGTCATACCACTCCCTGGTCATGACTTCAGCATCTGAGCTTTCTGGAGGCTGGCTGCCCGCAACTTCGGTAGCAGCTTCAATGACCTTTTCGGCTGCGGTAACGTTCTCTACGGGAGTAGGTGGTAGAGACTTCTTCTGGTTTTGGAAAAGCTGTTCTTGGACACGCAGGGGAATGGCGAGATTCTTGGATAGCATCTTGAACGCCAATATTTGGTTTCGAAGAGTAGCTAGTTGCTCTGGTGAAAAGCTACCGCTTCCAACCGTCGCGTTCTTCTGGTTCAGAGCAACTGCCGAGGCATTAGTGGCACTAGGTGTGGCAGCAGTCGAGGAAGCCGAGGGTGTGCGACCTGCGAGAACTTAAGTCAGCCCTGTAGAATACATTGTGTTTGGAGGAGGATGAGAATAGTAAATCAGACAAAGCTTACCATGAGAGCCATTGGCAGCTTCAGGAGTAGCGCCATTCATTTGTTGCTGTTGGCGCTGCTGTTGAGCCTGCTGAGCCTGTTGCTGAGCCATGCGCTGTTGTTTTTGGAAAGCTTGTTGTCGTTGAATGGCAGCAAGTAGGTTGTGGGCCTTGATGAACTCCGGGTCATCAGGACGAACACCTTGTTCTTGCATTTGCTTGTATTTCTTTGATAAATGTTAGAGACGACATCAAGGGCAGGCAAGGTATATTAAGGCGCATTAAGTGACTAAAGAATTGATGTACGGTGAGGTGTGTTGTTGCAATGCGACAAACTTACTTGGAGTATCTCCTGGACATTTTGTTGCGTGAGGTTAGGCGGCAAGCTCACGTTGCCAGGCGCCATATTAGGCGCTGGGTGTAAGGAAGCCATTGAGACGCGTGTATTTTTTTTTAATTCATGAGCAAGTGAGGTAGGTTGGGGGCAATGTCTCGGTCGATGCGGAGTTGTGGAAAGTCACGGTCTCCACCTGGTTCCAATCGCCAAGTCGCGCGGGTAAGAGAACAGGCGATCGCGGTGGAAATAAATGGCAAGCAACAGTTTGTGGTGAGCCTGTTTATGGTGAATGCGATCAGTGGGCGACTGTATGGGATGCTTGGCGATGGAAAGCGTGATGTTTGGGGGCGTGGTCGGAGCTTCCGATGCGATGGGGGGAGCGGGTACTTTCAGGGACAAGGGAGTCAAAGAAAGCGAGTAAAGAGGCGAGTTCCCAGGTTAAAGCAAGGTGGGAGGGGAACTCAAAAGTTGAAGGCGCGTTGGGATGGCGCGTTCAAAAAGTGGATGGATGAAAATGGAGATGAGGGAACGGAGTTGCGCGACAGGCTCGGGGAAATCTGGGTGCTCAGAGCAAAGGACTGACAACAGCCTGGCAAGGAGTTTTTTGCAAAGGGTCTTAGTCAGCATGCACGTGAGCCCGTGCTGAATTGTTGCCTGGGGCAGCGCAGCTCTGGTACCGTACCGGTTTGGGGTGAGGCTACTATCGAGTGTTGATTTTAGTCTCAAGTCTTGATTGAATATTTGGTTTAAGTGCTTCATTGAATGTATTGAATTATCTTCCTTGAAATACATAATAATACGATGATGAAACATTGTAAAGCTGGGCACCCGGGTCCCACCCTTGCTGTCAACGGGTATCTACACGAAGATCTTACCTGAATTACACATTCAAAATGCGAATAAAGACATGAGTGGATTTACCTATTCACTATAGGAGACACACGTACCCACGTTTCTCATCCTACTAACTCTGCGTTGAGACTAATAGCAGCCGGGGAATCCTCCAGACCTTCACTGGAGTCGACTCGGCAAAGCAAACCAGAAAGAACAATCGAGGAAAGGACAGGACAATCCCATGTAAAACCCAAGGGATTAGTGAGGGAATGATAATAGATACCATCGCCATGACCGATGATAAAGCTCCCAAACTCCAAAACCCCATGCTCCAGAACAAGAATAAACGTAAGAGGCAATTTCAAAACATTCCCTTACGCATTTGGTGCAGTAAGAAGAGACCGCTTGGCAGGTGGAGGGGGAGGGGGCTTCTTGGAGCGAGATGGTGGAGGTGGCGGAGGAGCCTTCTTCGATCCAATGGTGTTCAAGTTGCTGGCACTGGGTCTCCGGGATACCACGCTGCCGTGAGATGTTGCGGGGGATATAGATCTGCCCCCGCCAAACATCCGCTCGGGGCTAGAACGGCCATATGAGCTGACCTCTTCGGAGTCGGCGTAAGGATCAGCAGAGATTCGACCTCCAACTTGAGTATTGCTTCGACGTCCAAATCCAGACAGATTCTCGCTGGCGGTTCGCTGCTGAATCCACTGCGATGAAACTGGCGATTGATCTTGTCGCAGTTGAGCTGGGCCTTCGAAGGTGGGAACTCTGTTGAGGACAGGACGCGAAACCCCACCGGTACTCCCATAGGTCTCTCGCGGGGGCGACTCGGCGTACAGCTTCGAATTAGATCTGGTTGATCTAATGGTAGGCCGAATCTCCGAGGCATTGATCGACTCTTCCTGCAATGGTTCATACCGTTCCTGGTACGAATGGGCAGTGTTGGAACGAGGACGGGTCGGACGACGGGGAGGGGCATGCACTTGGCTGCACCTATTTCGACGTTAGTATCCCACAAGAGATGCAGCAGCCATGATCCATGCTTACCCAGTCCATTCATTCTTGAGCTGCAGAAGAGCCTCGCGGGACCGTTCATGGTATTCAAGCTGGGCGTCCAAAAAGACCCCCATGTCCATAACATTGTCGGTTTCGGATTCTTTGATGTCCTGCATGCGACGCAGCACGTCGTCACTAGCTTCCTCATACTTCATTTTTTGCGAGCGTAGTTCTTCCTCCACGCGGAAATCCTCCTTCTTAGCCTTCTCCATCTTCGAGAGAGAAGTATCATATGCCAACCGGCGGCTGTCCAGCTTCTTGCGAGCATGCTATGAGGCAGATTAATACGTGGTCTTCAATTTCGATCGTGAAAGTGAAAGGCATACCTGTAATTCTTTCATCTGAGTCAGGGATCTTTCGAGGGATTCAAGCCAGCTTGAAGTCGCCTGCGCGATGTAGCTTTCTTGGATGCGCGCAATGCGCTCTTCGGTGCGCCCAAACACTGATGGGATTGTTAGCGATGTGATTCCTCCCCCGCATTCCCTATGCTCATCGACAGGACTTACTGATGAGACATTGTCCATATTCGGAGTTCCCATCGAAGTCTTCACCGTGGGCCACCATGCTGCTTCCCAAATGGGCAATTGGAAGGGTCTTCTCTTTGTCATCTCCCTCATTGCGCTTCGAGATAGCCTTGACATAGGAGGTCATGGACTTATGAATACGGTCAACGCCTAGATAGAGAAAGGTTGGATCAGTAAGAATAAACTGCAAGTGCGGAGCGTGGTGACCTCCTACCTTCATGTCGCACCCCCATCTCCGTCTCCATTGCCTTAAAATCATCAGAGAGACATGTCTTGGCCTCTCCGCCCATGCGTTCTCCAGCCCATTGTTTGAATCGGCCAATCCTCTTGTTCACGTGCATGTTGTGTGGATGATAATGGTATGTGGGAAGAATAATCGAAACCAGCGATTGTGTCAAGTTGGGATAAAATTGAAGTAAGGAGGGAATGTTCGACTAGAATGCTCAAGGATAACAGGAGAGAGAGAGAGGGAAAAGGAGGTTGGGGGATTAGATTAATAAAATAAAAAAGGAAATCAGGAACAGGGAAATAGGCTACACATTTGGTCAATACCAATACAATTTATGCATGCAGCAGTGCGGATCTTGTCAATCTTGTCAATCAGTGGAGAAGGTACAAAGTAATATTTTTTTTCATGTTCTACTATTTTACCATTTAAAATAAAATATATATATATAAAAAAAAAGCTCTGTAATTTGTAGACATCTGGAGTCTCTTTCTTCAAAGTGTACAAAAATAAATTTGAAACCACAAAAGACCCAGAGGGGAAACTGGCGGTTAAACTGTGACACGCGTTAGTGGATGTGGTGGGGAGCCACACAATCCCATTGGTGTATTTCCTTTTTAATTACTATAATTATCTTTTATTGCCACTGGTCTGAAATCGAACATGTGGCAAGAAATATAAATTAGCAACATCATATACATAAACGAAATGCATGTATATATCATATAATCTATAAGTATACCATATACTATAATGATGTACGATTCTCCGTACTCGTACTCGCACGGTGCATGCGATGGCTTGACGGGGTTTCAATTCTGTTTCAGAAGGTCCAGCCCACTGACCCCATTACGGAGTATGGAGTAAATTAAGATTCTATGATTATCAGTGGATTGCATCGCCGTGCCAATGTCAACTTAGATCGAAAACGGTTTAGATCCTCTTCCTATTTTCCCTTGAACTATATTATTGGTACAAATATACACTTATTCTATCAACATGTGGCCCCAACATATCACTACTCGGCCAAGATCATTCGAGGGTCAATAGACAATGAACCAGGCACCCACGTTTGTTCCGAAGCCAACAGAGCATCGAACTCATTCCAGCCTCCCAATGGGATTTCGTCCCCAGCCGCCCGTGGACCAGCCCCTTTATCACTATTCTTATCTAAATCCAAGATCTCACCCCCAGAGCCGGAGCGCGGTGTTTCAACTTCAGAAAAAGCATCGGACGGTGAGTCTGGTGGGTGCAGGTTGCTCTGCACAAGACTCTCCACATATTGACCGGGCGTAACGCCCACATGTTTCTTAAACACACGATGGAAATGACTGGGTGTCAAGCCAGCCTCGGCCGCCAGATCTCTTAATTTTGGTTTCAGCCCTGTCATCAGAACGTTCCTGATTGACTCGCAGGCTTTGTTAATCATGGCGGTTTGGGGGTTGCTTTGTACCGCTGTCTGACCCGAATGCGGTCGACAGCGCTTGCAGGGTCGGAAGCCTGCTTTCTCTGCTTGCGGAGGGGTGTCATAGAACTGGACATTAGCACGGCGGGCTAGGCGTGCTGGGCATGAGGGACGGCAGTATATTTTTGTAGTGAGGACCGCGTAGACGAAGCTGTTGGCTGTGATGTCACGGGTCGAGATAGCTTGCCACCGTTCTGTGTTGGTGAGGGAATCCGAGCTAAGTCGGGGGATCTCTTGGGGCTTGGATAAATCTGTCATAATTGGGTATTCAAACTGTAGATATCTTCAAGGTAGGTATTGTATTCATTGTACTCCGTAGTTAGTCAAACTTGAGAGGGAAAGCTCGGGAAATCTGTTGTTTGATCTCAAAGTGACCAATCAGCGTCCAGATTGGCATCCAATGCCTCCAAGTTTCATATAACGGCGAGGCACCATGGTTTACAACTTAGTATGTATATGTAGAATTATACGCTTTCCTTAATAGTTTTCATGTCCACCTTCTCATTTTCGAACTCTGGAGGTCGTTTTACTTCTATATCTAATTTCTGTTCGATGCTTATATATATGTAGTACAACCCACCCTGACCTGTCCATACATAACCCCCTCCATAAAAAGCAACATGACCATAGATATTATATCAAAGAACCATTTAAACCGAAATAAAGTTATTTCAAGCTAGCGTAGCCTTGCTGGGCCGGGGGACGGGGTCGGGGCATATAGGTTTCTTCGCGCGTAATCCCCCAGTCGGAGCTCCTAGCTAAGTAGTCAATATCTTTTCTTTTTCAATATAGTACTAAGCCTTCACTAAATTTCAACAGATACGAAGGAACTACAAACCTCAGGTGAATATTCAATAAATGGAAACATAAGACAGATGCTTTGATAATAGTTATATGCAGGATCTGTGCTGGAAAATGATTTCTCTTCATACCTATACAAAGCGACCAGGAATTAGAAAGACCCTTCCCGCACATCCTCCAACTTACAATGGTTTGTATCCCTGCGTATCTGGAATTTTTGTCGCGTCATAGTGAGCTTTCTTCCTCCGGGAAGGTGAGTTGGTCGAACTTTCAAATGGAATGGGCGACGAGCCAAAGCCTGTATTATTCGAACCAAAGCCTTGACTGTTCGAACCAAAGCCTTGACTGTTCGAACCAAAGCCTTGACTGTTCGAACTGAACGCCCCATTAACCGCTAAACCAGATACAGACTGTTTTGTACCGAATGCCGAACTCGACGGATTGGATGTGGCAGTGGCAGTATTATTAGCCCCAAACCCGCCATTTCCTGTGCCCAGGCCGGAAGATGATGTGCCAAAGCCTCTTTTACTTGAATCTGAAGAAAAGATCGACAAAGCAGGCGCGGTGGACCCTGGTTGAACAATTAGCGTTTGCACATATTGACATAGTATGTGGAAGTGCTACCTACCAGTGCTAGCGGTTGGAAGTTGCCGGGGCAGACCAAGCGGGAATAGACTAGGCTGAGGAGTACTGGGCGCCGCCTGAGCTATCCGAGATGTCTCTGCAGGACTTGGAGTCTGGGTTCGGGTGGTTGCTAGCCCTGCTGAACCGATACTCCGATTAGCTTATGACTCCATAAACCGATATACGGAATATACATACCCAAGATAGGACGAGCACGTAGCGAGGAGTCCGCTGTACTAAAGGCATTGAGAGTCTGTCTTGCCTTTCGTAGCTTTTCGAGCTCTGCATTTAGACGTTCCCGATCCTTCTGGATGTTCGATGGCTCTGCTGCGATTTCTCGAATCTGCTGGTCATCCATGCTCAACACAGTCTTGCCGGTGAGTATATGCTCCAGAGGACAAAGAAGGCAATTTTCGATCGCCAAGATGGCAATATTATCGACAAATGTTACGATCGCAGTCTGCAAATGCAACGTGTTAGAATTCCCCTGGTATCTCATATCGAATAAGCATGTCTAGCTCACCTCGTAGTAGGCCTGCATTTGATCAATAATCTCTGCTGCTGCAAACTGATCGCTGGATAACTGTAGTTGAGATGCTGCTCGCTCCAGATCTCGGACATCAAAAGTGTTTCGAGTATCCTCTCCCGTTGAAGGGTAAGATACAGGCTGAAGGCTTGTTTTTAACGTAGCAATCTGCCGATTCTTTCTGGATTCTTGGATCTTGGAGAGAAATGATGTTCCCACGGGCAGCGGATGGCCCCTTTTGTAGTACGAAGTCAATTCGCTGAGCTTTTCTAGCAAAGACTCCTTCATCTTCTCCATTTTCGGACCGATGAGGTGTCGCATGAGCAAGAGGCGGGTGTGATCGTCCGTGAGGTTCTTCAGTACCAACTGGATAAAGTACTCAACTGAATCCCAGGAATTTAGCAGATGGGACTTAGCAATTGCTTCCCAGGGCTCAGACTGATCCCGGAACAAACTCCCTACAAGCAGCTGGTTTGCACTACCTGGTAGCTCGATTCCTCGACTTTGCCGGGCCTGTTCTTTAATCTCTTCCACAAGAGACTCCTGGGTGATGTACAGCGGTGTCCAACCATCCATGTAAGGCTTGGATCTCTCTTGCTCGATGTCCTTGACAGTCGATGGTTGGCCAAGGAATTGAATGATTCGCCGATTCCCGCGAATGCTCATCGCTTCAGCAAAGCACTCATTGAGCTCACGGATTATTGCCCGCAGTCGGCGGAAAGGGGCTTCTTCCGTGGTTGCCGTATGGTCTTTGAATCCACCGAAAAACTCATCGACGTACGATCCATTCAACGCCTGGTTTGTGATTCGTGCAAATCCGCTGCTAATGTCGACAAGAAAATGACGTTGCTCCTGAAGAGTTGTGCGCGGCGCGCCCATTTTTGCCAGTGCCTGCTCATTACGAGAGATCCTTTCTTGTATATCCGCAATAAGGCCAGGAAGATTGCGACGGACATGGCTAAGTAGGATCTTGCTGAGACGATGCCTCAGACTTTCAATCCCAACCTGATCTCGAGGGAGGGAAGCCCATCGCCCCCTTTCAAAGAATTCCTTTTCTTGGGCATCTCGGGCATCATCGGAAATGTTGCGCGTCTCAAACGAGCGGTTGCGCAATACATGCCAGCCAAGTTGCAGCTTCACCTTTTCATTCTTGATGAACTGGACATAAGTTTCTTGTTCGTCTGAGCCCGCTTCGGGGATATCAGGCTGCGTGACAATACCCAAGACCCTCTCATACTTGGGATCAAAAGACTGAGCGATGTTCAAGACCTTTTGGATATGGTAATCAGCCCTTGCACTGATGACAGCCAGAATGATGCTCCGAGAGCTCTTCATGTACTTTTCCGTCAGCCCTTGAACGATCTCCATTCCTTGCGCGTTTTGTTCGCTGCTACTGGAGTAGTAGAGTCCCGGAAGGTCGACCAGAGTCAGCTCTGGCTTTTCAGGGCCTGAGATTTCGACTTTAAGCACATCGTCACTAAATCCCGTGCTGGAAGGATCGGTGCTGGAAAGTCCCATGCATTCCTTCGCGTTTTCAATCAACGTGGGAAGGTCTTCACTGGAGGAAAAGGACTCGGAGGTGAATGATCGGAGGTTCTGTTGTTCCTGCTCATCCTTCCTAGAATCCCCAGGCTCAATGGATACTTTGATCTTTTCGTGGGGGCTTCGGCGAAGAACAATTTCGGTCGCAAACCGAGTGCAGATATTGCTCTTGGAAGGAAACCGTACTCTGGAGATTGCCTCTAGCACGGAGCTTTTCCCACTAGACTGATTACCACAGACGATGATCTGAGGCAGCTCCACAAGGCCTCCAACCCCAATAGCGCGCAGCTCGTCAATCTTATCTAGCAGTTCTGACTGTTCAGACTGTAGCTGGTTCATAGCCTGTTCATCAAGTGACGGTGACATGGTAACAATGTTCAAATGTTTCTCTCAGTATGTGGGGTTGAGGGAGTTTTGAGAGAGAGAGAGAGAGAGAGAGAGAGAAAGAGAGAGAGAGAGAAAGCCAAAGAGGGGAAATAAGATAGACCCCCTGTTGATCCGCGTCGCGCCGTGCACTTTGTCTGAAATGAACGAAATCGACTACACCGAAGCTATAATTTTCATTACTGTCAAACGGTCTAGGAAACAGATATATATGATACAAGTAGTACGGGAATTTGGGCCGTTCAATGTTTCCAATTGCCTACATAGTAGCTTTATATAGGACCACTTACATATCAATGAGCGTATTGATGTAGTGTATACAACAGTATAGCATTTCAAACCTCATTTAGGCCGTAAATTACATATCTGCGCTCTATTTGTTTCTGGCTAGACTGTGGCACTGAGATATGTACAGCGGGACCTCTGAAACATTTGGCCAAACCAAAGTACCTAGATATACCCTGTATAGTTACATACTGCCTTTATATTCTGCCAGTTCTACCAGTCTATAAAACTCCGAATATAGTTAGCTTGTATACACGTGATGCAGGGCTGTGATGCTAGTAGTCAAAGGTATACATAGGAAAGTCGTTTGCACAAATTGTGCCTTTTGCTATCTTTTTTTCCTCGCCCTGACCTATTAAACAGAATGATATCTGAGAAGACTGCTATACATACCACTGGAAAGACCACTGAAAAGAAGATAAAAAGGTAGGCGGTATGTCTAGGTACATAGATTTTGCCCAATATTTCGGAGGTCCCACCGTACTACGTTCATGTAATATAGTCAATATCGAACCTGGGAAGGAACCCGATATATATCCATCATACATCATCCCCGGGTACTAACGTGATCCCGAAACTGATCTAGAACCTATTCGCAGAGGAAGAAAGCACGGGGCTTCACCGCTGCACGGTATTGGTAACAGATCATGGAGACAACAACCATACATCGCAATTAATATGCCGATGAATTACGGCAGACTGGAATATCTACTAGGGTGATGGAATGAACGATGAAAAATTTAAAGGTGTATCATTCCACAGCCCCAAGGGCTTTTTGATTTCGTTTCTGCCCTGTAGAGGCCAACCCCGGACCCCTTTCCATCACCCTTTGATTTGTTCGACAAGAAAAAGGATGGTGTCCACAACCTTAATTCGCTAAGGGCGCATGAGACGCTCATCCGCAGGCGCCTAAGTACATTTGTCTCATAGCAGAATTCCATTTTCAACCCGTCACAAGAATAACTCCAAGAAAAAGCACCCTTAATCCTTGGTCTTCTGGGTACCGCGGAGCAGACCAGTTCTGCGGGCGGCAATGAGACCAGCCTTTTGACCCTGGGTGGCGTAGCGGGAGATGGTCGAGGCCTTACCGATGTGCTGGTGGTTACCACCACCGTGAGGCTGTAGAGAGAATTGTCAGATAGAGGTCCTGTAGGTTATCGGGTCTGTGTATAGACTGAAACTTACGTGATCGACGGGGTTCATGGCAACACCACGAGTCTTGGGCCAAGAGTTGCGCTTGACAGCGAACTTGTGCTTGGCACGACCAGCCTTGAGCAAAGGCTTGTCGGTACGGCCACCACCGGCAACGATACCAACCATACCGCGGGCAGTGTTCTTGATGACCTTCTTGGCACCGGAGGGGAGCTTGACACGGGTCTTGCCATCCTCGGGGTTGTGGCCAATAACGGTAACGTAGTTACCGGAGGTACGGCCAAGCGCACCACGGTCACCAGCCTTCTCCTCGACGTTGGTGATGACGGTACCCTCGGGCATAGAGGCGAGGGGAAGGACGTTGCCGACGGTCAGGGCAGCGTTCTTACCGGCGTAGATGAACTGGCCGGTGTACATGCCCTCGTTGGCGATGAAGGTCTCGGTGATCATCTTGAACTTGTAGGGGTGGCGGAACTGAACCTTGGCGAGGGGAGCACCACGGCCGGCATCGTGGATGATCTCCTTGACGACACCACGGGTGTAACCGTGAGCCTCAGCGAAGTCGAGAGTCCGGAATTGGGCAGGGGCCTTGTTCAGGCGGGTGTTGGCCGCTGTAAAATAGAGAAAAATTCGATATCAGCACTCCAATCTCCTTGCGAATCTGTGTGGTTTTCCATTGATCCTCTTGATTTCCTCCTCGCTGCTTGGGGTGCGCAGCCTCGAAATTTCGTGCTGGGATGGTTTGCGGTCGCACTCACTGAAAATGGAGCCACGGCCCTTCCTCTGGTTGCGGATGACACGACCCATGGCGACTGTCTATACGATGATCCTAGGTTAGTATGGAAGCCGGACAGAATTGTCGTAGGAAAGTGGTAGTCGTACCTCGAAGTGAAGATAGGCTTGTCGTTGACGAGTTGAGAAATCATCGGACACGGGGACTTGTGTGGGCTTTAGGGTGCGGTCGCTAATCTAACCCAATCGGGTATAGCGCATGGTCGCTTACTTGAATTGGTAGAACTACAGCAACACAGGCATTTCCAAAATACGCCTTTAATCGTTCGGTTTATATGGTGTTCATAAGTAAAGATAGTTTTAATAAATTGAATACTATATATGGAAATACTTTTGACTCAAAAATATCTATATAATCTTTATTTTATGCCTAAAGAGACTATTTCAGTGCAAGCCCTGTAGATTTTGGAAGGGCAAGTTATGTCATCACGCACACGTGACTGCCAAGACCCGATATCGCCAAGACTCATTTTGGCGTGTTGCTCTCTTCCTCGGACCTCCAAATAGCTAAGTGTGTATATTCCATGCTTCCATCTATGGATTTGGTGAGATGGAAATGTCAATGAAATGAGACCCAAACAGGTATGGGGCTATACTTGCCACTCGGACCATTACAGTTATCAATATCAAATGATCAACAATGCTCGTCGCGTACTTTCAGTATGAAAGCAACAGATACGTAAAGTTGTTTCAACCAGTCGCATCCATTTCTCACAGGGCTATTATATCTCATTAGATAAATTGATTTGAAAATATCCAATGGGAGCTCATCAATATCCCGTACTGGCTCTCTTGAGCTCTTATCTCTATACAGAAATCTACAAAATTCAAGCCGCTTTCATGCCAATATCCCATTTGTTTGAAACCTGCTCTTCTAGAAGACTGCAAGAATTCTCAGTAAAAAAAGAGTACAAACAAAAGGAGCAGTTGTGCCCAGAATCCTTTAAATAATCGCCCTTCGGGCGCAAGCTCGGTGCAGACGTGACGCTCGATTGCGCGCAACTTACTTCTTCCTTCATCACCTACCCCATCACTTCCACCATGCCTTCAGAATCAGAACTTTCATCATTATCATCGGCACCTCCAACAGATGACGAAGCTACCATGGCAATTGAACATCCGACTGGTATAGCAAAGTACTTCAAGAAGGAGTCTGAGACGCCGCCACCGAAGCGGGAACCGTCACCTCCGCATGAATACGTCGTGGCCGACAACCCCGATATTGCGGTGAGTTACTTCGCAGGAAGTTTTTGCGCATTGCTTGATCTACGGACATGTATATGACGCGTTCAATCAGAAAAAGGACACGCTTGCTAAGTTATCGCAATCTTTAGTTCATCGTTGCGTTCCGCGCGCGTTTCCATGAAGTGTTCCCCAAGGGAGTTCCACACTACGGCCCGCAGGATATCGAGAAGGGAATTGAGGAGTCTCCCCCTGGAGAATATATCGAAAGACTTCTATGCGCATTGCTTGGGCTTGTTCTGAACCGCAAGAAGGAAGTTGAGTAAGATCGCCACCTGTCGCCCGATACCGCGGAGTGCTTGACGCGCCTTTCCTACCCCCGCGCCATCGGTTGTGGAGTTGAATGCTGATTTGATGTTTGAATTATACAGACGAAAACACTTCACACGTCCCCTCGAAGAAGCAGTCCATACACATCAGTCGCAGTGGCCAAAAGAATGGGAGGGCAAAAATCCCCTTCATGGGGGTCGCAGCTTTGCGACCATGTCCCCCGTTGAACGTGTATGTTCTTAAGACCCATCATAACACCCGCTCTGCGATTCTGACATGTCTCATATTAGCTGCGTTTATTGAAGGCCTTAATACTGTGGTCACTTTCGTCGTCCGAAGCGGTCCAGGCGAAAATCAAAGAATCCTACAAGCAGGCGCGCCACGATGATGACCTCAACCAGCCATTGTCTGTCCAACCCTGGGGTCGGGACAGCCTGAAACGTCGGTATTGGCTTATCGAAGGGCACGATGACACAAATTTCCGTCTCTACCGCGAAAGTAATCCGGCCCTCAAACACAACACTTGGTGGAGCATCGCGGGGAGTATTCCCGAGCTGGAGGCCGTCGCGGAGAAGCTTGAGGGCGAAAAAGGCACAAACTCCAAGAAGCTCAGCGAGCGAATTCGTGCTTCGATTCCTCGATTTGAGGCATCAGAAGAGGTGATTTCCTATTTCAAAATTACATTGGACCCTGTTAATAAATTATTAGAAACGGAAACGCCGCGAATATCGTCTCGCACGAAAAGCTGCCTTCGTTCGTCCGGATCCTGGATTTTCCATGTATGAAGGTCGTACACGCGGCAAGAAACTGAAATACACGTATTCGGAGGACGAAGACTTCGTGTCTGATGATGAGCCTTCCGCCCGTCGCTCCACTAGAAATGCGGCTCACACGGAATCTTCCACGGAGTCTAGGCGCCCTCGATTCACAGCAAGTGGCAGGCAGATTCGGTCTCGCGCCGGGGGCCTATATGGCGAGGCGCTGTTGACTGGTCAACGCGATGGAACTGATGACGACGATTTCGATGATGAAGAAGAAGAAGTAAGCAGACCTCAGAGGGTCCGAACTTCGACCCACCCCAACGGATATTCTGGATACGACCCCGATGATTTGGAGGATGCATCCGAGGTTCATTCTAGCGCGAATGAAAGCGGCAACGAATGGCAAGGCGTTGAAGATGATTTGGAGCACGATTTCGAAGGCGACAATGAAGAGAACGAATCAAGCGCAGGTGAGTCAAC